ATGGTTTAGAAAACCTATGGTGGGTATAAGTTAAAATTTGAGTATCATGTAGTAGCCTAAACCTATTGCTGTTACATTGAACTGGGTGAATGGAATATGAATGATAGTCATCCAATATGCTGCAATAGAAATAAGGCCATGCTCATGGACAAACAATAATTCTTCCCTCAACTTAAACGGCACCGACCGCCACTTTCAAAGAGTTAGGTAAGAGGACACTGCTGTACCTCCTCCTCCGGTTTCTCTTCCACGCTGACTCCAGCCGGCTCCTCACTGCTCTGCTGAGACCGCAGGTTAGACGGGTTCTTACGACGGATAGAACCACGGGATGAATCAGTGATGCTCTGGATCTGTGGTAGTCAAAGCAACAAGGGATTTGCACTTTTAACAGAGAACACGAGTTCAAACATGAGAGTTTGAGTCGAGATATGTAAGTGACTGTTACAAACACTTCAGAAAATCACATAAAAGCAATTTGTCAACACTTGAAATATTATAATTTGCTCAACGCAAAGCAGATTTGATGCATATGTTGATAAATCTATAGCATGTGTTTTTAATTAGATTTTAGAAATGCATGACATTATAGAATGAAGACTTCTTTGTGGGAATGTGGGGAAGTTATTGTAAGTGTCACGGTTCAGACAGACGACCAGAGGACCACAATTGCGTCACACCAGAAAGTTTATTAAAACTTAAGGGAAAAGGGAAGTAGGGAGTGAATGAAGGCTCCAGGGGTAACAGGGATCCCGTCCAATGTGCTGGGTCTGTGCCCCCCCCAGTGGCAGCGATGCGTCCTATGAAGCCGGTGGTGGGTGGTCCAGAAGTCCTGGGGGGGGGAGACACAGACACAACAGGGCGGAATGAAACAAGGCAGCAGTACAGTTCAAGGGAAATCCAAAATACGTAGTAGCAAGGCAGAAGGCTGGTCAGAGTTACCGGGATTGAAGAGTAGTCAGGAGTCGTTATGGCAGAAGCAGGTCTGGATCTCCTGGGGCAGAAGAGTATCCAAAAATTCAGGCAGGTCCGGGGTCACACAACCAGGGTGAGCCAGAAGCGCGAGCAAACAGGTTCCGGGTGTGAGCTTTGCAGGCGATCTGACACCGGAGAGCTGAAAGACAGGGCCTTAAATACTGGGAGAGGTAGTGGGTAATGCAGCGCAGCTGGCAGAGTAATTAGAGCAGAGCAGAGCAGGGACAGGTGGAGCTAGTTAGGCTGAGTAGAGAGAGTGGTGAGCAGAGTGGAAGAAAATTAAGGTGGTAACCCGGTGGAGTGAGAGGCTCATGACAGAACCCCCCCCCCAAGGGACGGCCCCAGAAGTCCCAAGAGCAACACCACGCCGGGCGGGAGGAGGGGAGCCGGAGGAGGGCTAGAACTCCTCCGAACGGTCCGAGTGAACGTCCTCATCCTCGGAGGAAGCCGGAGGGCCGTGGTCGGGAGATGGGACAGGTCCCGAGACAGGATCAGGCACAGGACAGGAAGCCGAGCGGGCAGGACGGTTAGGGACCCCTCTGGGGCGGCCCCTACGGATTGCAGGTTGATCAGGATGCCGTTGGTGGAAAGCGGTGATGAGAGTCCTATCCACAATCCGACTAGCTGGCACCCAGGTCCTTTCCTCAGGTCCATAGCCCTCCCAGTCAATGAGGTACTGGAGACCCCTACCCCTCCGTCTGGACCGAAGCAGGCGGCGGACGGTGTAAACCAGACCACCATCGACGAGCCGTGGAGGAGGAGGACAAGGCGCAGCAGGGACCAGCGGACTCTCATGGATGGGCTTAATCTTAGACACATGGAAAGTGGGGTGCACCCTCAGGGAATTAGGCAGTTGGAGCCGGACAGCAGTTGGGCTAATCACTCTTATGATAGGGAATGGGCCAATGAACCGAGGTGCCAGCTTCTGCGACTCCACCCTGAGTGGCAGGTTCTTCGATGACAACCACACCCTTTGACCAACATGGTAGGTGGGAGCAGGAATTCTCCGACGGTTGGCCCCGGTAGTGTAGCTGGCAACGGATCTGAGGAGTGTGGCTCGGGCTTGTGACCAGGTGCGGCGACATCGACGGGCAAAAGCAAGTGCAGATGGGCAAGTAACCTCCTCTTCCTGGCTGGCAAATAGAGGAGGCTGGTATCCATAAACACATTGGAAAGGGGACATACCGATGGCAGAGCAGATCAGAGAATTGTGTGCGTACTCCACCCATGTCAATTGCTGCGACCAGGAGTGGGGGTTGCGTGAAGTCATGCATCGCAGTGCCTTCTCGAGCTCCTGATTAGCCCGCTCTGACTGCCCATTGGATTGGGGATGGAATCCGGAAGTCAGACTGACTGTGGCTCCCAGCAGGTGACAGAACTCCTTCCAAAAAGCGGAGGAGAATTGTGGACCACGGTCAGAAACTACATCCTTTGGCAGTCCGTGGATCCGGAAGACGTGTTCCAGGACCACCTGGGCGGTCTCCTTGGCGGTTGGGAGCTTGGGGAGGGGAATGAAGTGTGCCATCTTGCTGAAACGGTCAACTATGGTGAGAATGACGGTCATGCCCCTTGAAGGGGGCAGCCCCGTGACAAAGTCAAGGGCGATGTGAGACCAGGGACGTCTGGGCACAGGCAGGGGCTGCAGCAATCCGGCTGGGGGCTGGCAGGACGACTTGTGTTGGTTGCAGATGGGGCAGGCTTGGACGAATTCCCGTACATCCTTTCTCAGAGAGGGCCACCAGAACCTCTGGGCGAGCAGGTTGTAAGTGCGGGTGGAGCCAGGGTGACAAGCTAGGCGGGAGTCATGTCCCCACTGAACGACCTGGGACCTCAGGTCTTCGGGGACAAAAAGGCGGTCAGCTGGGCAAGTGCTGGGACCTGGCTGGTTACGGAGAGCCTCCAGCACCTGTTCCTCAACAGCCCAGGTCAGAGCTGCAACGATGCAGGGACTTGGCAGAATCGACACAGGGTCCTTGGAGGGGGTGTCATCCTTCTGGAATTGACGGGAGAGGGCGTCTGGCTTGGTGTTACGTGATCCAGGCCGGTATGACAGAGTGAAATTAAACCTGGTGAAGAACAGGGCCCAGCGGGACTGCCTGGAGTTCAACCGTTTGGCCGTGCGGATGTACTCCAAGTTCTTATGATCGGTCCAAACGAGAAATGGAATGGTGGACCCCTCCAGCCAGTGACGCCACTCCTCCAAGGCAAGCTTCACAGCCAGCAGCTCACGGTTCCCTATGTCGTAATTGCACTCAGAGGGGGACAACCGACGTGAGAAAAAGGCACAGGGATGGAGCTTCCTATCCTCCGCAGCCCACTGAGAAATCACAGCACCAACTCCCACATCCGAGGCGTCCACCTCCACAATGAATTGCCGGTCCACATCAGGCATCTGGAGGATGGGAGCGGAGGTGAACCTCACCTTGAGGGTACTGAAGGCTTTGTCGGCTGCTGGGGTCCAGGTGAAGGGTTGCTTGGTGCTGGTTAGAGCAGTGAGAGGGGCAGCAACGGTACTGTAGTTCCGGATAAACTTTCTATAGAAGTTAGCAAACCCCAGAAACTGTTGCAGCTTCTTTCTGTTCTCCGGAACTGGCCATGAAGTGACTGCTGATACTTTGGCAGGATCCATTTGGATACTTCCCTCTGCCACTATGTACCCCAGGAAGGCCACTGTCTTGACGTGAAACTCACATTTCTCTGCCTTGGCGTAGAGGGAATTCTCCAGAAGACGATGAAGGACTTGCTGGACATGGCGGGTGTGTTCAGACAGGTTTCTGGAGTAGATTAAGATGTCATCCAGGTAAACGAAGACAAACTTGTTTAACATGTCCCGCAGTACATCATTCACTAGAGCCTGGAACACAGCAGGAGCATTGGTGAGGCCAAAAGGCATAACCAGATACTCGTAGTGGCCTGTTGGTGTATTGAATGCGGTTTTCCATTCATCTCCCTCCCGGATCCGCACTAGGTGGTAAGCGTTTCTGAGATCCAACTTGGTAAAAACAGTGGCTCCCTGGAGCAACTCAAAAGCAGAGGTGAGCAGAGGCAGAGGGTAACGGTTTTTCACTGTGATGTCGTTGAGTCCCCTGTAGTCGATGCAGGGGCGAAGAGATCCGTCCTTCTTCCCCACAAAGAAGAAGCCAGCACCAGCAGGAGATGAAGATGAACGGATTAATCCTGCGGACAGAGAGCCATTGATGTAGTCCTCCATGGACTTTCTTTCAGGAGCAGACAACGAATAAAGACGACCCTTTGGAGGGGCTGTTCCAGGGAGGAGGTCGATGGCACAGTCGTACGGTCGGTGAGGGGGCAGAGATGTGGCTCTTGCTTTGTTAAACACCTCTCTGAGACCATGGTAGCATTCTGGGACATTGGAGAGGTCAGGAGCGGAGTTAGTAGGTACTGGCCGAGGGGGTAGTGCGGCAGCAAGCAGGCAGGTTCGGTGGCAGTCCTCTCCCCACTCCCTGATCACCCCGGTCACCCAGTCGAGCTGAGGGTTGTGCCGGCGGAGCCATGGGTAACCCAGGATGAGGGGTTGGCCTGGAGAGGGGAGCAGGTGAAACTGGATAGTTTCTTGATGGTTTCCGGACAGACCCATCGAGACCGGGGCCGTGACATGAGTGACCGATCCGAGTAAGTGTCCGTCCAGTGCCCGGGCAGGAATAGGAGGTGTCAAACGGAGGTTCTCCAGTCCCAGTTGGCGTGCCAGCTTGATGTCCATTATGTTGGCTTCGGCGCCAGAATCCACCAGAGCAGCCAGGGTGTGAGTTGAGTCAGAGAGGCGGAGGTGAACTTGCAGCAGGGGTTTGCGGTCGGAGGACTGGATGGTCATTGAACTCAACCGGACTCCCCCTATGCCCGGTGAGCTTCGGCCCTTTAAAGGGCAGGTTACCACACGATGTCCATCACCTCCACAATAGAGGCAGAGGTTTGAGGTGAAGCGGCGCTGGCGCTCTGCAGGAGTGAGAGAGGCTCGCCCAATCTCCATAGGCTCAGACTGATCAAGCTGACCTGGGTGAGTGGCAGTAGATGACAGGAGCCCAGTCGGATCTCTCCGAATGCCGGTAGTAGGTGGACCTTGGCGCCCCCTCTCACGACGACGGGTCTGTATCCTTCTGTCGATCCTGACAGTCAGTGCGATGGCTTCATCAAGAGTGGAAGGCAGTTCATGGGAGACCAACTCGTCCTTGATATAGTCAGCCAAACTATGGAAGAACGCGTCCACCAACGATGGTGTGTGCCAAGAACTTCGTCTAGCCAGGGTTCGGAAGTCGATGGAATGGTCTGCGACTGTACGTCTGCCTTGTCGAATACTGAACAGTTCACGAGACGCCTCTGCGGTTGGTGAATCCAGGTCAAACACCTTCAGCATCTCCTCAGCAAACAGGTCGAAGGTTGCACATGCGGGGGTTTGACGTTCGAACTCTGCTGTTCCCCAGAGTCGAGCTCGGCCCGTCAGGTGAGTGATGGCATACCCAACTTTAGCCCCCTCCGTGGCGAAGGTCCTTGGCTGCAAGGAGAACTGAAGTCGGCAGCTAGTCAGGAATGGCCGGACCTGGGTTGAATCGCCGTTGAACCGCTCGGGGTTTCCAATCTTGGGTTCCGGAGCAGCGGCTGCAATGACCGGGGCAGGTAACTCGGGGGCAGGGCTGGTGGGCAGACTGGCTGGGGTAAGGTTGGTGAGGAGTTGAATGATCATGGCGAGTTGTTGTTGCTGCTGCTGGAACTGCTGCTCATGCTCATCGGTTTCCATGTCGGGGAAAGTGTGCGCTGAGTCCATAATGGTCAGATCGTACTGTCACGGTTCAGACAGACGACCAGAGGACCACAATTGCGTCACACCAGAAAGTTTATTAAAACTTAAGGGAAAAGGGAAGTAGGGAGTGAATGAAGGCTCCAGGGGTAACAGGGATCCCGTCCAATGTGCTGGGTCTGTGCCCCCCCCAGTGGCAGCGATGCGTCCTATGAAGCCGGTGGTGGGTGGTCCAGAAGTCCTGGGGGGGGGAGACACAGACACAACAGGGCGGAATGAAACAAGGCAGCAGTACAGTTCAAGGGAAATCCAAAATACGTAGTAGCAAGGCAGAAGGCTGGTCAGAGTTACCGGGATTGAAGAGTAGTCAGGAGTCGTTATGGCAGAAGCAGGTCTGGATCTCCTGGGGCAGAAGAGTATCCAAAAATTCAGGCAGGTCCGGGGTCACAAAACCAGGGTGAGCCAGAAGCGCGAGCAAACAGGTTCCGGGTGTGAGCTTTGCAGGCGATCTGACACCGGAGAGCTGAAAGACAGGGCCTTAAATACTGGGAGAGGTAGTGGGTAATGCAGCGCAGCTGGCAGAGTAATTAGAGCAGAGCAGAGCAGGGACAGGTGGAGCTAGTTAGGCTGAGTAGAGAGAGTGGTGAGCAGAGTGGAAGAAAATTAAGGTGGTAACCCGGTGGAGTGAGAGGCTCATGACAGTAAGATCACACAGGTTGTTCTGTAAATCCTCACGCGTTATCTTAGGTTCCCTGAGATGTTATTGTTGCTCAGTCTGCTTTCTTGATTAATGAGACAGATCAAACTGGGCAAGTGCAGACACAGAGATTACATTTTCAAAATAGCTCAGTAATTATAATCATTCACTTGCTGCCTTGCCCTGTTGCTGACATTTCAAATTGAGTGAGTGATGATGGCTGGCTCAATACAAATAACAATTTGTTTGAAGGTAGAGAATAGCAAAACAAACTTCAGGGCATTGTTCAATTCAAACGAAGTGGTAATGGCAGGTGTTAGATAAACTACATAGGAGCTTTCTTTTGGACACTATGGCTTTTTTTGCTGTTCGCTAACAACTACACTGATATTATAAAATCATACTCAATTACCTATGTATGAGTTATACTGTACATATTACGTGGAATGTGTCAGGGCTTACCTCTCTCTCCATCTCGTTTTTGGTGAGGTGCATCTGTTTGAGGATCTGTGAGCGTTGCTCCATCACTAAAGTCTTCTCATATGTATAGGCTGAGATGTCACTGTCATGCTAAAAAGGGAAATGGGTGTTAAAACATACATCAATGCACAGTATTCGACTGAACTGGTATTGCTCTCACCAATAAATCACCTTATGGAGCATATAATAGTTTTACATTTTTGTCTCTCACCATTTCCACCACCTCGACCTCGGCATCGATACGCAGGTGATACAGGAAGGTGATCAGGTCTTTCTTCATCTGGATGCTGTTGTCGTCCATCTGGGCCACTGTGAAGATGCGCATCTTACACTTCCTCCACACCTGTCAACACAAGGAAGTTCATTGCAATGAAATTACGTTGAACCAACGTGGAACAGACGTTGAATTGATGTCTGTGCCCAGTGGGATGTGCTTTCTCTCCAAATCCCCAAATGGGATCCAAACAGGGCCGTTGGTTCCCACCTTGTGCTGGCGCAGAAGGAAAGGCAGCAGCATCAGCATGCCTCCATCATGGACGATCCACCACACATCAATGTGGCCTTCAGTGAAGCGCTCCCCGTTGGACGGGTAGGCAGCGATGTTCTTAGGGACCAGCAGGGCCATGCTGGCTGCAGTCGTCTCCCTAACCACCTCTACAAATAGATTGAACAGGAGTTATCATGTAATGATGATAACACACAAACCCATCCAAAGCATACTTAGCCTATGGAAAAACCTCTCCTCTAACCACTTCTTTAACTCACCAATGAAGTTCCTGAAGCGCAGGTTGTCCTCAGCCTGTTTCCAGGTGCGTGGCCAGCTGACCAGCACAGTGTTGTGCTTCAAGCCTCCCAGCCCACCGACCTGGATCAGGTGGGAGGTTCCATCCCTCAGGTTGGAGGAGATCACCACCTGGGAGAAACCCTTCACCTTCTCTGTCTCCATCAGCTTCCTCAGAGACTGGAGCACACAGTGGGAGAGGTGCAGGGGCAGAGACCAGCGTGTTATAAATGATTCATCAATGATTCATCAGTGTGTGTGTGTGTCTGTGTGTGTGTCTAAGACAGTACTGACCTGGTCTGTCTTCTGGGCCTCTGCATGGTTGTTGAGGAATGTGCCGACCACCGAGGTACCCACGATGGTCAGGCCTTTTCCTGCTTTCAGCTGATTGGTCAGGGACAGCAGACGGGGCTGCTCCACATTCTGTTCTGCATCCACACTCACCAGCACCATGATCTGAGGCCTAACCAGCAGCAATATCAACATTCAGTCACAGTCAGACTTACAGAGAAAGTAACTAAAGCTGGAAACCGCCATAAGTCATGGCCCGTTGATGTAATGTCTGTTTTTGAACATACTTGAATATGAGTGAGTTACCTACAAACAAATACATTTCCCTTGAGTTCAGTATGATACAGGTGATGAATAAAGCTTGTGCAATAATATAAGTGTATTTTATAGATGTGAGTAGATGGCATTTAGCCTCTGTGAATCACTGACCTCCAGTTCTTGGTGTGAGGCGGTCCCTCCTCCAGCCTCATGAGGGCGAAGCGAGCAGCGCTGAGCGAGATGCCACGTATACCATCTCCCCACTCCTTCTCCGCCCTGTCACACACCACCGAGCAGAGTTAGATTCAATCAACCATTAATGAACTGAAATGTTCACTGATACTTAGTGTGTGGGTTTAATAGCCTGTGAGTGTGAGTTACTAATGAATATAAGAACATCCGAACAGTGTTTAACCATTGTATTTGAAAATCTCCAGTTTTATTTATATTTCATTTAAATGTATTTTTGGATGGCGCATGTGTGAGAATAACAACAGTGCTGGTACATCAATGTAACTCCCTGTTTTTCTCAAAGCAGCCACATTAATGAGTGTCACTAAGTTAATACAACTTGATAACCAGAATCAGGATAAATTGCAAAGAAAACGGAGAAAGACAGCTTTTCTCGCTAGACTCAGGCAAGTCTGTTACGGGTCTTGGCTCTAGGAAAAACCCAATTTGAAGGGATATATTATTTATTAGTTGCAACTTTTCTCTGCTTTGTAGTCCAAGGTTATTCTCCAAGGACTGGAAGCTCACTCACCCAGCGAACTCAATGTATTTGTAGATGCAGGTAGCGATCACCATGGCAACAATGGCGTAGTACCAGGAACAGATGAACATGAGTGACAGACACAAGCTCATGCCCAGGAAGGAGAGAGCCCTGTGGGGCAGAGGGACAGGAAGTCACATCCTCAGTCTGTTGCTTGATGCTGCTAGAGTCACACCACTTACTGATCATAATAATGGCCAGAGATTGGAGACAGGAAATCTTGTCTCTCTGTCTGCTGTTGTTGTGGTTTTGCCAATAGAGGATTAATATAGGCTAAGACAGGCTCCAGATCCCCACAGTGTCTCTGGCAGACTAATCAGGTAAATAACAGCTTCCTAACAGAAACCTACCTGGCCTGGCCAGATATCCCGTGCCAGACATAAATGCTATAGTAGACTGTTTCACACCTGAGAATATTAGCACTATTTGGTGATGATCCCATGGCTAAGATCTAGAGCTATGTCTGCTATGTTGAGTTGTTCAACTCACCAGTGGTAGAACTTGAAGCGAGGCCTCCAGTTGGGGGTTCTCAGCAGAGTCTGCAGGGCACAGGCCAGGTTGACAAACATGTAGCACATCAAGAAGAACCTACACAGACAAAAAGAAGAACTCAGTCAGAACAGCTGTACTTGCTACCAAGACATAACCATCTCCATAGTGTGTTTAAGGTGAAGCACAGTTAATATTAGACGTGTGGTTGTCTTACATGGAGAGGATGGGGGCAACAGCGTCCAGAGAAGCGATGATTATGCCAATCTCACAGATACTGGCTGTGAGAAGCAGGGCCCAGGTAGGCTCTCCATTGGCCTTGCCATGCCCAAACACCTACAGACAACACACAACAGTGAGATACAATGAACTATTAACATACACTCACACACACACACACACACACACACACACACACCTGCACATACGCTTGAAAGCATGCACGCACACACACACGCACACCTGAACCTAAATCACAGCATATTGTAGTAAAAAGTTGAGTGGACTGTAGGAGTTTCAGCGCCTCTTTTTCTCTCATTCAGGTCACACTGGTCCCTGCTGCAGGGTGATTAATCACTATCTACCCACACGCTGCAGACAGTGGGTTTGGCAGGGGGGGTAAAGACAGCTCCCATCCCAGCAAGTCAACCTGAGCCTGGACTATAGTAGGGCCATGCATAAGTAATCACTGCTAGCTCCTACACACTTGAGAGGTATTTGAATAGAGTGGACCTACATTGCTCTGAACAAACATATAAATTCTCTCTGTGGTATTAAACAGTAGTAGCTGTGGTTCTGGTAATAGTATACAGTATATTTACTATACAGATCATTACCAATGTTGTGTGTGCATGTTCGCTGATTCACCACTCCAAGAAATAGATGTGCTAGTGTGTGTGTGCAAGTGTGTTTTAATTGCCTTGATATGAATGTGTGTGTGTATGTACTCACTTTAAGGAAAGGGATGACGCTATCGCGAGAAATGGCCTGCAGGAGGCGTGGCGCTCCAGTCAAACTCTGAAGCCCCGCCCCACAGGTGGAGAAGAAGGATCCAATCACGATGACCCATGGTGATGGCCAAGCCAACGTACCAATCACAAGGTTACCGTTCACCCCCTCACCAAACCTGAGGTCAGAGTGACAGATTTCTAAGCTGCATTTTTCAATGAATGTTTTTGCTATAACAACTGGCCTCGTCCATTGCATAATAAATTCAGTGTACACAACTGTTTGTTGGATTCTTAGTCTTTTGAAAGTTATTTGTTATTCTATGTTTTGTATCTGATTACATAGACAATTAGTGGGAGTATTGATCTTGTGATGGGCATGACTCACGAGGCAGCGATGCTAGTTACAGTCGCTAGTGAAAGTCTACAGACCCCTTGCACAGTCTTCACATTTTGCTGCCTTAAAATTACATTTAAAAATGGATTAAATTATATATTTTTTCATACCGATCTGTACAACCTACTCCACATTGTCAAAATGAAATAAAAATCAATTTTTGCATAATAATAAAAACGTTATGTATTGATTGCGTATGTCTTCATGCCCCAGAGTTAATATGGAGCAAAGCCCAGGTAATAAGTCACCTAACCCTGGGATAGAGTTTTATTTTTCAGCAAGACAATTATACACATTTTAATGCCAAAGTCACACCAGAATGGCTTTCCAAGAGGTGGTGAGGTTTCCTGAATGGTCCAGTCTCAGTCCTCACTTCTACTTGAAAATCAGAGACAAGGTTTGAATATTGCTGTCCATCAATGATTCCCAACCAAATTTACTGAGCTTGAGCAATTTTAACAAAAACAATGGATACATATTGCGCTAAAAGTTGTGCAAAGTTGGTAGAATCTTGTTCAAAATTATTCACATCTGTAATGGCTGCCAAAGCTGCTTCCATCAAGTATTAACTCTAGGGTGTGAAAACATATGCAATCTAGACATTTATTATTGAACAATTATTTCACTTTGAAAATGTGGCGTAGGTTGTTTAGATCTGTAAAACAAATCTAATGTAATCCCTTTTTAGTTTTAATTTAAGGCAGCAAAATGTGAAGACTGCAAGAGGTTGTAGACTTTCACTAGGCAGTGGATGTATATAGGAATATTAATGACTCACTTGTCCCTCAGGACCACCCCTTCAATACAGGCCCCAAACAGGACCACGGCAGACATGTCTGAGAGAAGCAGTGAAGGAATACACACGCAGACTGTCTCCCAAACAAAGTTAGCTAAGCATTTACAAAAGCTCAAAGAAACCTAAACCTAAATAAAGGATCAAATGCTTCATATTGTTTATTCAAACATCAAACAAAGTATAGTTAATATTCCAGTGTATTATCGTCAGTAGTCCCTGAGAAAGCCTTATTCTAAAATTGATTAAATAAAAATGTTTCCTCATTAATCTACACACAATACCCCATAATGACAAAGTGGAAACTTGTTTTTATAAATGTTTGCAAATGTATTACAAATAAAAAACAGAAATACTTTATTTACATAAGTACTCAGACTCTTTGCTAAGAGACTTGAAATTGAGCTCAGGTACATCCCGTTTCCATTGATCATCCTTGAGATGTTTCTACAACTTGATTGTTGTCCACCTGTGGTGAATTCAATTGATTGGACATGATTTGGAAAGGCACACACCTGTCTATATAAGGTCCCACAGTTGACAGTATATGTCAGAGCAAAAACCAAGCCATGAGGTCGAAGGAATTGTACGTTGAGCTCAGAGACAGGATTGTGTCGAGGCACAGATCTGGGGAAGGGTACCAAAAAATGTCAGCAACATTGAAGGTCGCCAAGAACACATTGGCCTTCATCATTCTTAAATGGAAGAAGTTTGGAACCAGCAAGACTCTTCCTAGAGCTGGCTGCCCAGCCAAACTGAGCAATTGGGGGAGAAGGGCTTTGGTCAGGGAGGTTACCAAGAACGCGATGGTCACTCTGACAGACCTCCAGAGTCCGTCTGTGGAGATAGGAGAACCTTCAAGAAGGACAACCATCTCTGCAGCACTCCACCAATCAGGCCTTTATGGTAGAGTGGCCAGACAGAAGCCACTACTCAGTAAAAGGCACATGACAGCCCGCTTGGAGTTTGCCAAAAGCCACCTAAAGGACTCTCAGACCATGAGAAACAAGATTCTCTGGTCTGATGAAACCAAGATTGAACTCTTTGGCCTGAATGCCAAGCGTCACATCTGGAGGAAACCTGGCACCATCTCTACGGTAAAGCATGGTGGTGGCAGCATCATGCTGTGGGGATGTTTTTCAGCAGCAGGTACTGGGAGACTAGGCAGGATCAAGGGAAAGACGAACGGAGCAAAGTACAGAGAGATCCTTGATGAAAACCTGCTCCAGAGCGCTCAGGACCTCAGACTAGGGCGAAGATTCACCTTCCAATAGGACAACGACCCTAAGCACACAGCCAAGACAACACAGGAGTGGCTTTTCTGAATGTGCTTGAGTGGCCCAGCCAGAGCCCGGACTTGAACCCGATCTAACATCTCTGGAGAGACCTGAAAATAGTTGAGCAGCGACGAGCCCCATCCAACCTGACAGAGCTTGAGAGGCTCTGCAGAGAAGAATGGAAGAAACTCCCCAAATACAGGTGTGCCAAGCTTGTAGCATCATTCAGAAGCAGGCTAGAGGCTACAATCACTGCCAAAGGTGCTTTAACAAAGTACTGAGTAAAGGGTCTGAATACTTATGTAAATGTATTTTTACGTTTTTTATTTGTAATAAACTTGCAAAATTGTCTAAAAACCTGTTTTTCCTTTGTCATTATGGGGTATTGTGTGTAGATTGATGAGAAAACCCCCAGATTTAATCCATTTTATACTAAGCCTGTAACGTAACAAAATGTGGAAAAAGTCAAGGTGTCTGAATACATTCCGAATGCACTGTATATACTGTATTATAAACCGGGTGGTTCGAGCCCTGAATGCTGATTGGCTGAAAGCCGTGGCCATCTACCAAACCCCATGGGGCGTTATTGCTTAAGTAAAGGATACACACTATAGAAGTAGTGGTGATGGCTGCTATGGTGCCTATGGGGATGGACTTCTGGGCATCACGCAGGTCTCCAGAGCGGTTGGAGCCAGCCATGATGCCTGGGAGACAGAGGAACAGAGATAAACAGGATTAAACAGGACTAATTCCCATCCTTCACACTTGATGTGAAATGGCTTGTCCTCTGTTTCACACGTTTTACTTTCTTCATTATACTGCTTTAGGAAGTGCTTTCTCGAATTAAGTGGTGCACATTTTCACAAGTGAAAAAGTGGAGGCCCAACAAAAAAACTAACAGCATTTTCAATAAAACACCTTAACAAAACTCATCCTTTACTTGTAGCAACTGTGTATATATATATACTGTATGTCACAGAGCAAATGTTCATATACAATGGGCATTTTATTCAGCCGTTATGCCAGTGGGATGATAGTGGGAATGTGACTCATGTATTCCCCAGACTTTCTGCTGATGTGGTTTTTGGCAGAAATTCGACTTCCTCTCAATTCGCCCTGTTCAGCTCCTCTAGTGTCATCAGTTGTGGAATGTATTTCTTTCTCTCTCTCTCTCTCTCTCTATGCATTTGGGACTGTGGAGAGACTCTCATGGAACTATTTGTCACCATAAAGTGGATATTACAACAGGTGGTGTTTTTGATCTGGTATTTACTTTGAATTCATAAGGTAATAATAATTATAATAAATAATTGGTCATTTAGCTGACGCTCTTATCCAGAGCGACTTACAGGAGCAATTAGGGTTAAGTGCCTTGCTCAAGGGCACATCGACAGATTTTTCACCTAGTCGGCTCGGGGATTAGAACTAGCGACCTTTCGGTTACTGGCACAACGCTCTTAACCACTAAGCTACCTGCCGCCCTAGGTAAGATGTTTACATGTAATTATAATAACTTAATATAGGTTATTAGATAAATCAGGTCTGTTACTGCTTGGCTGAAACAAAAGCCTGTACCTATACTGTCCTTTTGGGATAAGATTGACCTAGTCCGTCCTCAGTAGTGACCCCTGACCCTTGACCCAGTGACTGACCCGTAACCGAGTAGTGACTGACCTGTGACAGAGGGGAAGTAGATCCCCACCAGCAGGGTGAAGAAGCTGGTGATGTCAGCCAGGACGTAACGGTTGGAGTTAGTGATGAGAGCGTCAGGATCCTGCATGGCAGAGATCCCCCGCTTCTCCAAGAAATCTCCCTTCTCCAGGTAGTAACCAAACAGGTTCTCTGTGAGAGAGAAAGAGAGAATAGAGAGAGAGAGAGAGCGAGAGAGAAAGAGAGTAGAGCGAGAGCGAGAGCGAGAGCGAGAGCGAGAGCGAGAGCGAGAGCGAGAGCGAGAGCGAGAGCGAGATGCACATCATAACAATTACATACCTCTTGTGGAGTACCAATACATCTCTATACTACAAACTACATTAGATTACAATACGTTCTGAATGGGCACCTCTTCTTTATTTTTAATTTTTTAGGGGGTAGATCAGCTTTAATATTGCAGATAGATTGTAACTTCCATCAATGTAATTGTCTGCATCACTTCCAATCCCCCATATGTTTTTTTCCTCGCAAATATATATATGAGAACCTCCTTCCCTCAGCCAGGGCATTGAAAATGGGTCGTGGATGGGTATTCCAGCATGACAATGACCCAAAACACACAGCCAAGGCAACAAAGGAGTGGCTCAAGAAGAAACACATTAAGGTCCTGGAATGGCCTAGCCAGTCTCCAGACCTTAATCCCATAGAAAATCTGTGGAGGGAGCTGAAGGTTCGAGTTGCCAAACGTCAGCCTCGAAACCTTAATGACTTGGAGAAGATCTGCAAAGAGGAGTGGAACAAAATCCCTCCTGAGATGTGTGCAAACCTGGTGGTCAACTTCAAAACGTATGACCTCTGATTGCCAACAAGGGTTTTGCCACCAAGTACTAAGTCATGTTTTGCAGAGGGGTCAAATACTTATTTCCCTCATTAAAATGCTAATCAATTTATAACATTTTCGACATGCGTTTTTCTTGATTTTTTTGTTGTTATTCTGTCTCTCACTGTTCAAATAAACCTACAATTAAAATTATAGACTGATCATGTCTTTGTCAGTGGGCAAACGTACAAAATCAGCAGGGGATCAAATACTTTTTTCCCTCACTGTATAGCTATTTAAAAATATACATCTATTCAAATATCTTACATATCTTAATTTCCATCATTATCAATTAATATGCGTAATAATGTCGGCAGTTAATGCATAGGATTGGTACCTATAACCCGGATTGCCATTGTATTACATTACATTTTTGTCAAGCAATTATTATTTTAGCAAACAATTATTGTGAGTCATCCTATATGTATATCCCTCATCTGCACAAAATTGAAAGCAACCATTTCCTTTCTCACTCACTTAACGCCACACTTTTCCAAACACAAAAACGCACACCACACCTTCCATCACAATACATCCACACATTCCCACATACTGTGCCTTCTATGTCTTCTGGTTGCTATGTTTTTATCTCCACTATGTTGATTGAGTACTTGTGTTCTAATTAGTTGTATTTGAAGATGTATTATTTTGCTTGTTATCTTTTCTTGTAATACCGTCTTATCCCTTTATAAAATACTATAAATATGCTTTATTATTACAAGCCCTACCATGGCTAGTATTGGGTGTTCCATTATTCGACTCCTCTATTAGAACTTTCAGAATAGCCATGGAGTAGTCTTTGTGTCACGGAACATTTAGTTGTCAATATACAGTTTATCGACAACTAGAGCAACACGCTTCCTTTTAATCTATTTTCCTTGAAGATTGGGTACAGAACTTTGCGCCGTTCTGTAATCTCCCTCGGGAACTGATCATTCATGCCTATTTTCGTTCCAGCAAGTCTTTTACCTAGGCTTTTAACCATTACTTTATCCTTAAAGAAAGCAAATTTGGCAACAATTGGACGCTCATATCTCTGTCCTCTTTGTCCAAAACGGTGTACACGTTTGTGTTGGATTTTATCGACAGCCTCGAGTGAGATTTGAAGCGCTGTAAGAATGAAGTCCTTCACAATTTTTTCGGTAACCTCTCCTTCTTTTTCTTGGATACCCATAAGTACTAGATTTTCTCTCATTGATCTAGTTTGTATGTCTAGTAAGGCTTCTCTCAGAAAGTTGTTCTCCTTTTTAAGTTCTTTAACGTCCGTTTCTATCTTAGTGACTGTCCCTTTTAGTTTTTTTGTATCATTCTCCATTATCACAGCTTTTTCGTCACTCATTTCAACACTCGCCTTCAACTCTTTTACATCATTACTGACCAACTCTAGTATGCCCAGTTTGTCATTTATCGACTTCAACAGATTGCTTTCCACACTTACCAGTCCGAGTGGTGAAAACCATAAATCATCTGTGTCAGTGGAGGAGTCGCGTTTTCTCTTGGAGATTGATTATCCTCGTTTATCTTCCGTCATGTTTGGGTGTTGCTTGTTGTTGTAATATTTGTCAATACATTTCTCTAGCCTTATGATTTGTTTTGTGTTATTATCCAGATTTAATGTTATTACCCGCTAATATTTAGTCTAACTTACTGATATTGAATATTATGTTTTTATCTTGAGGTGATTCGCACCGCTGTGTATTCAATATGCATGGGCACCTCTTACCAGCCAGTATACCACTGCTGACCCCTGGGATGCCCTGGATCTCAGAAACATTGTTGTTGGCAAAGTATTCGTCACAGGTAGCATTGAGGAACTCGGAGTCACAGAAAATCTTCCACAGTTTGGTGGTGACCGTGCCGTTGTCCCGCTCAATGACCTTGGCACAAACGTCAAATCCCTTGGAGATCAGAGTGCGGTTCCCCAGGATACACACGCTGTAGGGGGAGGACAGACATGACATCATCATTAGCTCCTGATTTATTTAGAGGTTGGGGAAAGCATAACAGAAATCAACAGATATATGCAAGGCTCATGGCTTGATTGAGTAAATGAAGTAAACATTAAACAAACAAATCAGAATCCGCTGGTAGCTTTGAGCTTATGGCTAGAGACAAGGTCATCGTGGCTTTGTTGGTTTGGTTTGTAAAGCTCCGAAAGCTTTAAAGCTGGAATCCTTAACTGGTGAAACTCCATTTGGGATATTACAACAACAAAGAAGTTACTGCAAACAACAAACATTATTTTTTCCCCTCAGACATCATTGCACTAGGACAGCAGAATATGCACTGCAATTTATTTTACCACGCGGCCGAATGCTCCTCTCTACCGTTTTCAGCAACAAAACAAAAATAATAACAAATGCACTGGGGTGAACAGGGTCACTGTTTCCCCTAATGCGGATTCGATTACTGGGGGGGGGGGGGGGGGGGGGGGACTAGTACTATATACACAGGACTACTATATCTCCAGTTAGGGCTCATATCAAAGTACTCAGTGTGTGTGTCCGTCCATTCAGGCGGCAGCCCTACAGCAGGAGTCGTAGACCACTCAGAGGGCAGAGAAGGAAGTGACCCATATGGTGATCGTCATGGTCATCTCATTTCTGGTATGCTGGATGCCCTATGCCACCGTGGCCTGGTACATCTTTGCCAACCAGGGCACCAACTTCAGCCATGTCATGATGACCATCCCAGCCTTCTTTGCCAAAAGTGCTGCCCTCTACAACCCAGTCATCTATACTGAGTGTACAAAACATTATGAACCTGCTCTTTCCATGATATAGACTGACCAGGTGAATCCAGGTGAAAGCTATGATCCCTTATTGATGTCACTTGTTAAACCCACTTCAATCAGCGTAGATGATTGGTCTGATGAAACCAAGATTGAACTCTTTGGCCTGAATGCCAAGTGTCACGTCTGGAGGAAATCTGGCACCATCCCTACGGTGAAGCATGGTGGTGGCAGCTTCATGCTGTGGAGATTTTTTTCAGCAGCAGGGACTGGGAGACTAGTCAGGATTGAGGCAAAGATGAACAGAGCAAAGTACAGAGAGATCCTTGATGAAAACCTGCTCCAGAGCGCTCAGGACCTCAGACTGGGGCAAAGGTTCAACCTTCCATCAGGACAACGACCTGCCAAGACAACACAGGAGTGGCTTCAGGACAAGTCTCTAAATGTCCTTGAGTGGCCCAGCCAGAGCCCGGACTTGAACCCGATCGAACATCTCTGAAGAGACAGCAACGCTCCCCATCCAACCTGACAGATCTTGAGAGGATCTGCAGAGAAGAATGGGAGAAACTCCCCAAATACAGGTGTGCCAAGCTTGTAGCATCATACCCAAGCAGGCTCGAGGCTATAATCGCTGCCAAAGGTGCTTCAACAAAGTACTGAGTAAAGGGTCTGAATACTTATGTAAATGTGATATTTCAGTTTTTTTGTAAATATAAATTAGCAACAATTTATAAAAACCTTTTTCTGCTTTGTCATTATTGGGTATTGTGTGTAGATTGATGAGGAAAAAAGCCATTTAATCAATTTTAGAAGAAGGCTGTAACCTAACAAAATGTGAAAAAAGTCAAGGGGCCTGAATACTTTCCGAAGGTGCTGTATGCTCCCAGCAGGCCCAGTTATTCAGGAAAGCTTAACACTCACTCTGCCTCTTCTCCAATCCGAGTGGCTAATCCTCACACACCTAGAACCTAACGCTTCAGTACAGCCTAAATATTTGTAATTTAACTATATATTAAGTCACAATGTTCTAATCTGATTAGGCTACTTCAAATGAGTCCTGTAGGCTACCTGCACACATTTGTCAAAAATATAATTCCAGCATCCAAACTGTGCACCGGCCACGCCATGGAAAGAGACATCTGCTATAAAACACCAAAAGGTTTAATGACATTCGGAGATTGTCAAGCCAAACCTTCGATACTGGGTACAAGGTAGGGATGGATTCATTTTCTGTTTGTCGATATTAACATAGTCTATTTGATTATGGTGTTGAAAACGCAAACCATGATGTTGAAGCACCTGAAGTTGGTATGAAGCACCCAAAGTTGGGGGGGGGGGGTCAAGTGAAAATATTTGTAACATTGGGGAGGGGGGTGCATTTTTTTTTATGGCACCTCGAGTTGGACCACCCCTCCACAGTCATTTTCAAACTGTCCCTAACGTGCTGACTACACCCGCCACACGCGCCTATGTTGATTTTGCCATCCATACCAGACGCGGTCATAATACGCAGGTTAAAATATCAAAACCAACTGTGAACCAACTATATTAATTTGGGGGCATGTCAAAACACACATGAAACATTCATTGACATTTTGCTAGCTTGCTATTGCTAGCTAATTTGTCCTGGGAGATGAATGTTGTGTTGTTATTTTACCTGAAATGCATTTGGTCTTTTTTTTTTTTAACTGGATCTTTGAAGAATTTGTGTGTTTCTCTACTCCGACTATTAACACTAGAAAAGCTGGGCATCGAGCAACGCGTTCTGAGCCAATGCATTCTAACAGTCTAATAAATACATGTCATATATGCTATTGAAAAAAAATATCATTTGGTTGTGTTTATGAGGGTTAGAATATTAGAATACATTAGAATACGAAAAAAATATTTCCTTATAATAATAAATAATAATAATATGCCATTTAGCAGACGCTTTTATCCAAAGCGACTTACAGTCATGCGTGCATACATTTTTTGTGTATGGGTGGTCCCGGGGATCGAACCCACTACCTTGGCGTTACAAGCGCCGTGCTCTACCAGCTGAGCTACAGAGGACCACACCTTAGTTTATGTTACTGTAAAAACCACCACAATTCAAGTGTTATACACCATCACAAAGAGATGCATTACTATTTTGTTAAGGGAAGTGTTTAGAAATATAAAAAAATGAATAAATTGTATTTCAAAATAACAGAATATTATAGTTTTATGATGTGGGGCGGCGCACAATTGGCCCAGCGTTGTCCAGGGTAGGGGAGGGAATGGCCGGCAGGGAGGTAGCTCAGTTGGTAGAGCATGGCGTTTGCAATGCCAGGGTTGTGGGTTCGATTCCCACGGGGGGCCAGTATGAAAATAAAAAAGAATAATGTATGCATTAACTGTAAGTCGCTCTGGATAAGAGCGTCTGCTAAATGACGTAAATGTAAATATCAAAACGTCTTACCTGCATGAAGGATGATTTTAAAAAGTTGCTTTTTGGTAAGCTCTGTTCCCTTCTTTATCAATTACCCAAGCTGTTCTGCTGTCTCTTCATTCACAAGGCAATTTATAATATTGTCACCCAAGGAGACTATTGTAAATTTGATCTTGCCTTTAGGCTACATCTATTATTATAGGCCTATGTGTTACATTTCTTTTTATATAGTTTAGGTGTAGTTTCGATGGGCCATTGTCAGATGGCAGCCAACTGGTGAAAGCAGGGCAGGGGGAAAAATGACATGTCCTCCTAAATCTGCTTATAACACAAACTGTTTGTGAAATAAAAATTCAAAATACGACAGTGTGTTGAATATACTTATTTAGGAAAAGTCAAGGATGGGGGACATGACTTTGACAATGGCAGAGTAATTAAAACGTTAAATTCATACAACCTCAAAACGATGCTCTCAGCGCTTCTAGTGTTAATCCACAGACAAAAGTTAGTTATCTATGATTAATATCGCTTCATTCATCTTTCAAATACCCACGTGGGGATGTATGCTCCTGAAAACCAATGAGTAGATGGGAGAGGCGGGACTTGCAGTGTGTCAAGCGTCTCAAACAGAACCAAGTTCTATTTTAGCGCCTGGTTCTGCAGACTCGCGCGAGCAGTGTGGATGAAATTATTGAATAACATGTACAAGTCCATTTATTTTGCAACGCTCACGCACGCAACGTGGCCGGTCAAATAAAATAAAATACAATTGTATTTGTCTCATGCTTCGTAAACAACAGGTGTAGGCTAACAGTGAAATGCTTACTTACGAGCCCTTCCCAACAATACAGAGAGAAACAACATAAATAATAGAGAAATAATAACATGAGGAATAAATACACAATGAGTAACGATAACTTGGCTATATACACGCGTACCAGTAAGGAGTCGATGTGCAGGGGTACGAGGTGTTTGAGATTTATATGTACACATAGGTAGGGATAAAGTGACTAGGCAACAGGATAGATAATAAACAGTAGCAGCAGCATATGTGATGAGTTAAAAAAGTTAGTGCAAAAAGGGTCAATGCAGATAGTCTGGGTAGCTATAATTGGTTAACTATTTTCAGTCCTCCTGAGGGGGAAGAGGCGTGGTCGTGTCTTCTTCACGACTGTGTTGGTGTGTGTGGACCATGATAATTCCTTAGTGATGTGGACACTGAGGAACTTGAAGCTCTCAACATGCTCCACTACAGCCCATCAATGTGGATGGGGGCGTGCTCGGCCCTCCGTTTCCTTTAGTCCACGATCAGCTCCTTTGTCTTGCTGATGTTAATGGTGAGGTTGTTGTCCTGGCGCACACTGCCAGGTCACTGACCTTCTCCGTATAGGCCGTCTCATCGTCGTAGGTGATCAGCCCAACCACCGTTGTGTCGTCAGCAAACTTAATGATGGTGTTGGAGTCGTGCGCAGCCATGCAGTCGTGAGTGAACAGGGAGTATAGGAGGGGACTACGCACACACCCCTGAGGGGCTCCCATGTTGAGGGTCATTGGTTTGGGTGTAAGTGAGCAACAGCAGGAACATTTTTAGGAAGCACCAATGTGGATGGGAGAGTAAAAAGTAAAGGACACCAGCATGCAAAGAGCACAAGGCTCAGTCAGGTCAAACTTACGGGAAAACAGGGGGTTCAAAGGCCGTCTTGATGACCCCAGCATAGACAGCCAGGATGGACAGAATGACGCAGGCCAGGAAGACCAGAGCCAGCTTGTTGACATATTTCACCCCCACAAACACCACCGTGGCCATGAAACTGAGCACAATGGTGCCGTATACACGCATGTTGTTCAGCATCGCTGCCTCCATATCAGCCCCCTCCAGACCCTCCATCTTAAAAATGGCTGCCTGGGGGAGGATGTAAATCTGGAGAAGGGAAAGATGAGGGAGAGAAAGAAAGGGAGGTGGTGGGAAAGGAGAGAGGAAGAGACGAGAGAGTAAGAATAGGATGGAGGGAGAGAAAGGGTGTGTTAAAAAATGACAGATGGTGGGACGAGGACGGAGGGAGAGTGGGAGCGAGCGACAGAAAAGGATGAGGAGAAAAAAGGAGGGAGGGAGAGGGTGTGGGAAGAGAAATCAGACATTATCTCAAATGTTGGAGAAATCAGATAACTGTAATGAATAATGACAAGGCACTAACAAATGAACAGTTTGCTGTGAGTGTGACAGCTTGCTGGATTAATTCATTATAATTGAGATATTATGTCTCTAAGGAAAAATTGCTCAGGAATTGCAAGAATATTTGTCTAAAATGAAAAGATATCAACATAATTGATTGTATTTAATGGGTAATTTTCAGTATTATCATCTATTTCACCACAATCTGAAGAACAAACGTCTTCCCTCTGCATTCATCAATGTTGCATGTGGTCTCGCCCCAAAATAAACGCCGGACAAGGCACAGGGGAAACAAAACAGATAGCAAACAAAACAATAAAAGAATAGCAAACATATTTCCTTACCAGCAGAAGTTCGATGGCACCAAGGATGTACATTGCACCTGCAAAAGTAGTCCCCAGATAAAAGCAGATTCCGACAGCTCCGCCAAACTCAGGGCCAAGGGAACGGGAGATCATGTAGTAGGAGCCTCCGGCTGAGACACACAAACAACCATTGGCATTCCTCTTTGGTTCTATCTCTGCAACATTGTTTTCAATGCCCCAGGCCTGCACAAAGGTCTAAAGACTTAGGGCTTCTATATGCAGAAGTAGTAGTCAACAGAAATATAGTGCTGCATAGACATTGCTTAGGCATGTTAGATAAAGCTCGCTCTAAGTCATCAGGAAAAAAAACCTTCTATACAGTATCATGGCTCTATGAGTTTCCGAGTAGAAATAGAAAGGTTTCTGATGTTTCACACTTTCACACTTCAACACTTTCATACTGTGTAGGGGTGCCAGTGCAGTGTGGTTTTGATTTAACCATGCTAGCATTACCTGTCCTATCACAGACAGAGCAATATCAGACGTGAAAACCTAATTGGTTGGAAAGAACAACAGGATTGCCATGCGGCACCCAGACCTCCCATGCATGCACACACCAAGGTGTGTCTGTGATTCACACTCACCTGGCACCACTCCATTTGTTGCGATGGCACTCATGGAGATAGCTGTCAGCATGGTCTGAGATGAGACAAAGAGGGGAGAAAACACTATTTTAAATGGAGCAGATTTGATCTATTTTAGCCCCCAGCTGCAGAGTGCTGATTTTTTGTTAAACAGTTTAAGGCAAGTCACCACACCCTAATAGGGTAATTATACCCCCTTAATGATATCACAATCAACTTTTACCAGTTGAATGTGGACACAAATATAATACTTTTTTGTATTATAATTTTTCTGAAATATTGTATTAAAATATGAAATTACATCTCATGAAATATGCACTTACAGTATTTGCATAGAACGCAAATAAATGTTTCTGGACACTGGATGAAGTCAGCCTAAATATTTAGGTTTCATTTTGTTAAGACACTCCAGGACTTACAAATAGCAGATCATGGATAATAACTTTTCCATCTTTCTATCGTTAAAATACTAAAGAAAGGTACATAAAATGCATTTTGGGAGCTTTTGTCACGCTCGTTGACGGACGGGACGGACCAAGGCGCAGCGTGATATGCATACATGTTTATTATACCGAATAAACACACAACAAAACAATAAACCAACGACACGTGAAGTCCTAAGGTAACACACAACAAACCTTATACGGAACAAGATCCCACAACCCACTAGTGCCAATAGGCTGCCTAAGTATGATCCCCAATCAGAGACAACGAGCGACAGCTGCCTCTGATTGGGAACCACACCGGCCAACATAGAACTACACATCCTAGAAAACCCACATAGAATATGCACAAACAAAGAATACACACACCCTGACTCAACATATAAGAATCCCCTGAGTCAGGGCGTGACAGCTTTTTTCTTAAAGAAAATATCATCCAGAATAAAACTTTAACAACATACCAACAATTCCCTAAGTGTAAGTCTGGAGAATATGTCTAAGGATTAACACACAACATTTGGTGAATACAGATGCTTCTGAGGCTGAGAAAAATGAGTTGGCATGTGGGAAGAGGCTGACTTTCGGAAAATGGCAGTTAAGGATAAGTACAATGAATTTCGACTATCAAATGCCAAACACCTATTTAGACCCAATCACCATCTCTCCAAAGTAAGTTACTACATAATGAGTTTGTAACATTCTCTATGAAATTGACTTTTAAATTATATGTGATTCAATGAGCTTTGAAGTTATGGATGTATGTCCATTTACAAGTGGTGACAATTCAATACATTTTTATGACGGTAGTATGATACAGTAACAAAAATATACACTTTGATCAACTTTTTGACATTTTTACGTTTACTTTTTGAAAATACTAATATTAATGGACCAAAATACCTCAAAATCTCAAAATTGTAATTTTAGCCTGTGGTGCCTGACCTTAATAATATATTGTTTGTGACGCTCCATCCTTATGACATACTTCCGTATGAATATGAACTTTGGGAGGATGGTTCCAAACAGTTTCTTAGCTATTTGGCTGATGATCGATCATGACAACATACACAGTGCAACCTTGAACTAAACTGACGCCTCATCAATCTAATCAACATCCTTGTCGAAATAAAATATAGAGATCACAGCAATCAATAGAGTGTCAGTATTTATATCTAAAGTGGGAGCAATCTGCAGGCTTGAGATAAAAGTTTCCCTTAACCACAGATCTAGGATCAGATGACACTACCTCCAAATAACCATACCCATTCGATGGGTGAAAAAATAGCTGACTCTGGATCAGTAGTTAGCGTATACCCAACCTGTGTTGCCTGTTGAGTTTAATCTGCGATTTCAGCTGGGTCCCAAAGCCCCAGAGGAGACAAGAGCATTGGCTAAATAAAGGATTAATAATTAATATGTTTGGGCAGGCTGACCAACCCTCTCCGCTAAAGCTCAGTGATGCAGGTAGGGCATTTCACAAAACCACAAGGCAGAATGACAATGAGGAGAGAGAGAGGGGGAGAGGCAGAAAGAGAGAGATGGCAGGAGAGTGTGTGAGAGAGAGAATGGAGAGAGGAGATAGAATGAAAGGGACAGATAGGGAGAGAGGTGGGGAAAGAATGAGGGAGAATTAAGGCTTGTAAGAATGGAATCGTGAGAAAGAGAATGAGAGGAGGAGAAGGGTGCCTGTGAGAGGGGAAAAGGGACAGTAAACAAAAGAGACAGAAGAGAGAAAGTCGTGGCGTGTCAGGGAGAGGGAGAGAAGGACAGAGACAGTCAGAGTAACAATAAAGAAGGTAGAGCATGAGGGATGGTATTAGAGAGAGGCAATCATTAAGAGAGAGAGAGAGAGAGGTAGTTAGCCAGAGAAAGACAGAGAGCTAGTCATGGGGCGAGAGAGAGAGATGGTTAGATACAGTGCATTCAGAAAGTATTCAAACCCCTTGACTTTTTCCACATTTTGTTACATTACAGCCTTATTCTAAAATCGATTACATGTTTTTTTTCTCTTCTCATCTATCTACATACATTACCTCATAATGACAAAGAAAAAACAGGTTTGTATAAATTTTTGCAAATTTATTACAAATAAAAAACGGAAATATTCTCCCATTCTTCTCCCATGATATGTGTAAATTGACGGTGATGTGAACTGATCACCACGTACAAAGCATAACAAGACAGGAAATACAAGTGGCAAATCAGTGTTGGGTTGGGAAGCACATCTCTTATAATAGATAGCTCAGGCACTTCTCCCATCCTGCTGTCTTTTCTATCTAACACATCTGATGGATATCCACATGCATTTCCACAAACAGCAGCACAAATAGGAGGCTCTACTATCCCTGGGTTGAGACTGGAACAGAGGTCCAACTGGTCACCACCTCTATGTATGGCCCCAAGTAGCAGTTCTTTAGAGTCCTGAGCTCAATGCTGAATCAGAGTTGTTGGGGTTTGACGTTGTCTTTGATCAGTCCGGGATGGGCTGTATCCGACTTCAGGATCAGTACTGCTGCTGATAGCAGCTTAGAGCGCTAGCTAGTCTTCCTTTGTCACTGGATCAGTGACAGACGGGGGGTAAGGGCGGTCACCTAGTGTTTGGGGATAGGCTCATGGGGGGCGATAGTCCTCATGGCTAGTACTAAGTACTAAGGCTATAGCTTTTAGTCCCTTGGGGCAGCAAACCAGAGTTCATCAAAAGGAACACCATTTGGATTAATGCATTCTAAATGCATTATGGAATTTAAGTTACAGTTCTTCTGGGTTATATAATTATTTTCAGTAGAAGATGATGAAATTACTGTGAACCAGAATCTGATGGAATCTGAAAATATACTTGGGTATACAACACTGTAAAAAAGTACGTTAAGTTAAGGGATGAATAGTAAATGTATTCTGTAAAGATTTTAGGTCTACCTCAGGTCAAAATAGGATTAAACTAGGATTTACTCAACTGGGAGAGCTTTGGGATATCAAACAGAATTCAAATGGAAGTGGCATTGAGTATATCCTTATCAGTGTTGCAAACTAGCCTCTCTTTCTGTTCTGGCTGGCACATTGCCCATACTAACACTGATGGAGAGAGGATAGAGAGAGGGGGGGAGAAGGGAAAGAGAGAGAGACAGAGTGGACCGAAGGGCGAAAGAGAAAAAGAGCTTTCACAGGGGAGAGGGAAATATGGAGGGTGATATAAAGAGAGAGAGAGGATGAGGGGAAGAAAAAAGATGGAGGAGAACAGGAGAGAGCGAATGTGTGAGAAGGATATGGCCCAGAGCTGTGACTCACCGTGGAGCAGCACATGAAGACGATGATGAAGGAGCCAAATACCCCTCCGATGCCCACCATCCAGGTCATCCGCAGGAACAAGATCACACCAAAAATATTCTGGATGCAGGGCAGGTACACCCCCATCAGAGTGCCCAGCGATGGTGCCTGGAGAACAAACACAACGCAATACTGATTAATACTGTGTGTGTGTGCATGCGAGAGTGCGCACGTGATATGAAAATGTTTAACTGTGGCATGGCAGTACAAACTTTATAGAAGTACAGTAATGTACCCCACACCATTAGTGGAACAAAACAAATTCCTCTAGTGACCGACTCCTGCATCCGAGTTCAGTGGATACAGTACCGATTCATACAGCACTCATCATACAGAAATACAGTACAGACTCATTAGAAACTCAAGAGCCCTCCTCTATCCCATCACAAAAAGACAGTAATCATATGAAGAGAGAATGACAAGCTCTTTGTTCAGTCAAAATGGGGACATCTCCTCCCTCATTAACCTATTTGAATGGCAGCAGAAAGATAACACTTTCTCCTCCTTTTCCTCATTATTTTGGGCTGGCGATAAGTTTGTGGCTTTCCATGATTGAAGGCTTTTTTTTACATCTGAGGTATAAAGCTGAAATTCAGGCAGCAGAGATTCCTCTGTGTCTCACTACGTGGAGTTAAAATAATCCAGATGTGTGATATCATAGTTTATCAGTAGACACTTCCTTTCACTCATCTATTCACACAGGTGGAGGTGGCGCTAGGATACTGGCTGAGGCTGCCCAAATCCTCTATCTCTGTCAGCCCATTTAGCTAATAACTAGCAGTTGTCCAGTTGCCAGGGAGAAGGACCCTCTCATTAATCTCGCCTGTCTGTATAGTTATGTATGGAGGAGAAAATGTAGTTCTCACACTCTACCATTGATTAGACATGGCTTTCAGCTATTGAGTTATATGGGATTGGATCTCACATAGGACTTCACTTAGTCGCCATCTTACAGACCTTGTAACCTTCAAATGATGTGTGCAGCCATCCAGTATAATACCAGTACGGCATATTCCTTAAACATTATAGCAATGCAGGATTCATGATTTCTTTGACTAAATTAATTTACTAAACTACTTTTAAATGCAATTTATTCCAGGAGAAGATGTCCGTTTTAATTCCAGTTGCCTAAGAAAGTTTTTGTCATCTCCAACAGTACAGTGAGGAGAAAAAGTATTTGATCCCCTGCTGATTTTGTACGTTTGCCCACTGACAAAGACATGATCAGTCTATCATTTTAATGGTAGGTTTATTTGAACAGTGAGAGACAGAATAACAACAAAAAAATCCAGAAAAACGCATGTCAAAAATGTTATAAATTGATTTTGCATTTTAAATGAGGGAAATAAGTATTTGACCCCTCTGCAAAACATGATTTAGTACTTGGTGGCAAAACCCTTGTTGGCAATCACAGAGGTCAGACGTTTCTTGTAGTTGGCCACCAGGTTTGCACACATCTCAGGAGGGATTTTGTCCCACTCCTCTTTGCAGATCTTCTCCAAGTCATTAAGGTTTCGAGGCTGATGTTTGGCAACTCGAACCTTCAGCTCCCTCCACAGATTTTCTATGGGATTAAGGTCTGGAGACTGGCTAGGCCACTCCAGGACCTTAATGTGCTTCTTCTTGAGCCACTCCTTTGTTGCCTTGGCCGTGTGTTTTGGGTCATTGTCATGCTGGAATACCCATCCACAACCCATTTTCAATGCCCTGGCGGAGGGAAGGAGGTTCTCACCCAAGATTTGATGGTACATGGCCCCGTCCATCGTCCCTTTGATGCGGTGAAGTTGTCCTGTCCCCCTTAGCAGATAAACACCCCCAAAGCATAATGTTTCCACCTCCATGTTTGACGGTGGGGATGGTGTTCTTGGGGTCATAGGCAGCATTCCTCCTCCTCCAAACATGGCGAGTTGAGTTGATGCCAAAGAGCTCCATTTTGGTTCCATCTGACCACAACACTTTCACCCAGTTCTCCTCTGAATCATTCAGATGTTCATTGGCAAACTTCAGACGGGCCTGTATATGTGCTTTCTTGAGCAGGGGGACCTTGCGGGCGCTGCAGGATTTCAGTCCTTCACGGCATGGTGTGTTACCAATTGTTTTCTTGGTGACTATGGTCCCAGCTGCCTTGAGATCATTGACAAGATCCTCCCGTGTAGTTCTGGGCTGATTCCTCACCGTTCTCTTGATCATTACAACTCCACGAGGTGAGATCTTGCATGGAGCCCCAGGCCGAGGGAGATTGACAGTTATTTTGTGTTGTCACCTTTTCACCAAGCTGCTTGGCGATGGTTTTGTAGCCCATTCCAGCCTTGTGTAGGTCTACAATCTTGTCCCTGACATCCTTGGAGAGCTCTTTGGTCTTGGCCATGGTGGAGAGTTTGGAATCTGATTGATTGATTGCTTCTGTGGACAGGTGTCTTTTATACAGGTAACAAACTGAGATTAGGAGCACTCCCTTTAAGAGTGTGCTCCTAATCTCAGCTCGTTACCTGTATAAAAGACTCCGGGGAGCCAGAAATCTTTCTGATTGAGAGGGGGTCAAATACTTATTTCCCTCATTAAAATGCAAATCAATTTATAACATTTTTAACATGCATTTTTCTGGATTTTTTTGTTGTTATTCAGTCTCTCACTGTTCAAATAAACCTACCATTAAAATTATAGACTGATAATTTCTTTGTCAGTGGGCAAACATACAAAATCAGCAGGGGATCAAATACTTTTTTCCCTCACTGTAACATCAATGACAATGTCTAATAATACAGTACAAGTAGAGGTACAAGCAACCATTTGTCGTCTTAGTCCTTGCTTGTCTCCCTGACTCTCCAATTAAGTGTCTAAAGCGCCTCATGGAGGAGATGAGACATAGGAAAGAAATAAAAATCTGTATCTTCCTCAAATACCTCGTACCCCTGCACATTGATATTAAATCCAGTGTATTTTATTCCTCTTTTGTTACTAGTGCATTCGGAAAGTATTCAGACCCCTTGACTTTTTCCACATTTTGTTACGTTACAGCCTTATTCTAAAATTGATTAAGTTGTTTTTCCCCTCATCAATCTACACACAATGCCCCATAATGACAAAGCAAAAACTGTTTTTCTTTTGTGAAAAAAATTAGCAAACTGAAATATCACATTTACATAAGTATTCAGACCCTTTATTCAGTACTTTGTTGAAGCATCTTTGGCAGCGATTACATCCTCGAGTCTTCTTGGGTATGACGCTACAAGCTTGGCACACCTGTATTTGGGGAATTCTCACATTCTTCTCTGCAGATCCTCTCAAGCTCTGTCAGGTTGGATGGGGAGCGTCGCTGAACAGCTATTTTCAGGTCTCTCCAGAGATGATCGATCGGGTTCAAGTCCGGGCTCTGGCTGTGCCACTCAAGAACATTCAGAGACTTGTGCCAAAGCCACTCCTGCATTGTCTTGGCTGTGTGCTTAGGGTCATTGTCCTGTTGGAAGATTAACCTTCGCCCCAGTCTGAGATCCTGAGCGCTCTGGAGCAGGTTTTCATCAAGGATCTCGCTTCACCGTAGGGATGGTGCCTGCTTTTCTCCAGACGTGACTCTTGGCATTCAGGCCAAAGAGTTCAATCTTGGTTTCATCAGACCAGAGAATCTTGTTTCTCATGGTCTGAGAGTCTTTAGGTGCTTTTTGGCAAACTACAAGCGGGCTGTCATGTGCCTTTTACTGTGGCTTCCGTCTGGCCACCATGCCATAAAGGCCTGATTGGTGGAGTGCTGCAGTGATGGTTGTCCTTCTGGAAGGTTCACCCATCTCCACAGAGGAACCATTTAAGAATGATGGAGGCCCCTGTGATCTTGGGGACCTTCAATGCTGCAGAAATATTTTGGTACCCTTCCCCAGATCTGTGCCTCGACACAATCTTGTCTCGGAGCTCTATGGACAATTCGTTCGACCTCATGGCTTGGTTTTTGCTCTGACATGCACTGTCTAGTGTGGGACCTTATATAGACAGGTGTGAGCCTTTCCAAATAATGTCCAATCAATTGAATTGACCACAGGTGGACTCCAATCAAGTTGTAGAAACATCTCAAGGATGATCAATGGAAACAGGATGCACCTGAGCTCAATTTCTAGTGTCATAGCAAAGGGTCTGAATACTTATGTAAATAAGCTCTTTCTGTTTTTTATTTGTAATAAATTAGCAAAATTTTCTAAAAACCTGTTTTTGATTCGTCATTATAGAGTGGTGTGTAGATTGATGAGGGGGGATACGTAACAAAATGTGGAAAAAGTCAAGGGTTCTGAATACTTTCCGAACGCACTGTATATATATATATATATATATATTTTACTTTGCATCGTTGGTAAGCAAACATTTCACGGTAATGTCTACACATGTTGTATTTGCTGCATGTGACAAATACAATTGTATTTGATTTGAGGGATGACCTAGTCCTGGGGGTTCTGCCGGGCCACAGGGGAGAGCCAGCGAGAGGTAGCTCACTGCAGGGCCACTGACAGGCTGTCTGGCTTAGGTTTTGCCCTTGGACCGCAGATCCTCCAGGTGATTCAATCACTATAGGGGCTTTGCCACACAATAAGCAATTACTCAGCATTCAGTGACAGGCTCCACGTTGTCTGTCTCTCTCACTGTAGAGAAGTGTTTCTCAATCCTGGTCCTGGGGACCCAAAGGGGTGCACATTTTAGTTTTTTTGCACTAACATACCTGATTCAAATAATTCATCATGAACATGCTGAAGCTGATCATTTGAATCAGGTGTGTTATTGCTAGCGCAAAACAAAAATGTGCACCCCTTTTGGAGCCCCATGACCAGGATTGAGAAACACTGCTGTAGAGAACACAACTGAAGTCCACAGTACACAATAACTGTACCTGTTTTACGAAACCTTTAGTGCTGAGCTACAAATGGCCAAATAACTGCACATTTTGATGCGTCCATATTCATTAAATTGTCAAAAGCCTATTATATTTTTTCTGTGAAGAAAACATTGGCCTATCTCTCTGACTGATGCTAAAAACAACACAAACCACCTCTAAATTAACCTGTCAGACCAGTTACCATGCCATGTGATCATTTGCCCCAATTTCACAGAAAGGGAGGAATGTGAGTCAGTTGGTTGAGTAAGGCTCCTCATCTTGTCTAAGATAAAAAAATTAAATAAAAACATTATCCCATCCACTCAGGTTCATACAGCGGGGAAAAAAAGTATTTAGTCAGCCACCAATTGTGCAAGTTCTCCCACTTAAAAAGATGAGAGAGGCCTGTAATTTTCATCATAGGTACACGTCAACTATGACAGACAAAATGAGAAATAAAATCCAGAAAATCACATTGTAGGATTTTTTATGAATTTATTTGCAAATTATGGTGGAAAATAAGTATTTGGTCAATAACAAAAGTTTCTCAATACTTTGTTATATACCCTTTGATGGCAATGACACAGGTCAAACGTTTTCTGTAAGTCTTCACAAGGTTTTCACACACTGTTGCTGGTATTTTGGCCCATTCCTCCATGCAGATCTCCTCTAGAGCAGTGATGTTTTGGGGCTGTCGCTGGGCAACACAGACTTTCAACTCCCTCCAAAAATGTTCTATGGGGTTGAGATCTGGAGACTGGCTAGGCCACTCCAGGACCTTGAAATGCTTCTTACGAAGCCTCTCCTTTGTTGCCCGGGCGGTGTGTTTGGGATCATTGTCATGCTGAAAGACCCAGCCACGTTTCATCTTCAATGCCCTTGCTGATGGAAGGAGGTTTTCACTCAAAATCTCACGATACATGGCCCCATTCATTCTTTCCTTTACACGGATCAGTCGTCCTGGTCCCTTTGCAGAAAAACAGCCCCAAAGCATGATGTTTCCACCCCCATGCTTCACAGTAGGTATGGTGTTCGTTGGATGCAACTCAGCATTATTTGTCCTCCAAACACGACAAGTTGAGTTTTTAACAAAAAGTTCTATTTTGGTTTCATCTGACCATATGTCATTCTCCCAATCCTCTTCTGGATCATCCAAATGCACTCTAGCAAACTTCAGACGGGCCTGGACATGTACTGGCTTAAGCAGGGGGACACGTCTGGCACTGCAGGATTTGAGTCCCTGGCGGCGTAGTGTGTTACTGATGGTAGGCTTTGTTACTTTGGTCCCAGCTCTCTGCAGGTCATTCACTAGGTCCCCCCGTGTGGTTCTGGGATTTTTGCTCACCGTTCTTGTGATCATTTTGACCCCACGGGGTGAGATCTTGCGTGGAGCCCCAGATCAAGGGAGATTATCAGTGGTCTTGTATGTCTTCCATTTCCTAATAATTGCTCCCACAGTTGATTTCTTCAAACCAAGCTGCTTACCTATTGCAGATTCAGTCTTCCCAGCCTGGTGCAGGTCTACAATTTTGTTTCTGGTGTCCTTTGACGCTCTTTGGTCTTGGCCATAGTGGAGTTTGGAGTGTGACTGTTTGAGGTTGTGGACAGGTGTCTTTTATACATATAACAAGTTCAAACAGGTGCCATTAATACAGGTAACGAGTGGAGGACAGAGGAGCCTCTTAAAGAAGAAGTTACAGGTCTGTGAGAGCCAGAAATCTTCATTGTTTGTAGGTGACCAAATACTTATTTTCCACCATAATTTGCAAATAAATTCATAAAAAATCCTACAATGTGATTTTCTGGAGAAAAAAAATCTCAATTTGTCTGTCATAGTTGACGTGTACCTATGATGAAAATTACAGGCCTCTCTCATCTTTTTAAGTGGGAGAACTTGCACAATTGGTGGCTGACTAAATACTTTTTTCCCCCACTGTATCTACTAGAATGATCTCATAATACCAGCCTCTTGTGGCCTCTTGGCTGGAAGGAGCTGTCACATTAAGATGTGGAATGGAGGTGAATGATGCAGTAACCTGACTCAGACCAGTGTAACAAGACTATGCTCCACTGCATACATGCTGGATAACAAGCCTAATGTGGCCCTGCTCAGGCCCTGTAAATTACCATTACTTCTGTGTAACGGCAGGGAAGGAAAAGGGCAGCACGCACAGCCATCAATAACGTCCTGTCCAGGCCTAAACATGGCTGACAGCGTCATCAGTAACCCCCCTGTCCGTTCTTAATCAGCTTGGACCTTGCCAGGTGGAGGACGATGGCCTGTAAGGGACATACTCTGCTGACTCAGATCAAGTCAAACTCCAGCTAATGTTTATGTTTAGGACCAGACTTTAGTTTAGATTAGATGAAGTACCTTGACAGCAGGCTTTTTTTTGGATGGAGCCGCCCCCTCCTCGTTTTCGGCCTCCTCGTGCTCTTTGCTGCCCTGAGGCAGGTTGGAGTAGTTGGCCAGACTGCTGAGTATGGATGACACCATGGGACTGTTGTCCATCTCTTCCTGCAGGACACAGGGACAGGTGGACAGACATCATATCAGCCCTCATTTTACAGCCCCCTAAGCTGGTGTTGACAACTGAGAAACTATTATTAAGCCAGTACTTATTTCAAATAATTCAACCCACCTGGTGCCAGATGGTAAGTAAGTAAGCAAGGCTTTGTATATACTGTAGGTGCTCATTTCAAACCAATAGAGCAAAGTAATTACAGTATTGAATTACAGTGTAATTATAGGTAAGCAAGTTAGGGAGCCCCGTGTTACAGACCTCAAACAGGGCCATGTTCTTGCCATCGTACTGCTGGCTCTTCTCTACGTCGCTGGCACTGCTGCTGTTGATGAAAGGACTGCTCTCCTTGGGGTTCCCCTCACCTGCAACACACAGACAGCACAGTTAGAAGAGAAACACACATTACACAAAATATCATAATTAAAGGAGAGATATGAATGTTTGCAAAACACAGACATTAATTAGCCATGTACTTTCTCATTTACTTTAAAAATGAGAGACCCAAGTTGTTTGAACAGGAGGAGTGAAATGATTGGATTTCGATGAATATGAATGTGTTGTTTGTAAATAGATGATGTTAGCTTGGAGAAATGATTCCTTGTTCAGGATTTAATGACTTTACCACACATGGGGTCGTCGCTAGAGCCAGGAAATGCTCTATTTAGATGGACCTATACAGGCTTTGTGTGGGGAGGATCCGTGCTGGCAATGAGAAATGGTACCAGATATTCCAAATTGTGTGTATTCATTATCTTGGTAAATATGTATCATATCACACAGAGAACATCATAGAAAGTAAAACAAATCAGTGTGATTTCGATATTAGGAGGTGTTATTTCACTGTAGGACAATACAGAGGGGCAGTACACAGGCACGCATGCAGGCAAGCAGGAGCGCTGACGCACGCACACATACACACACACCTTTGACAACACACCCAGCAGAATAGTTAACCGTTATGCAGTGTCCTTTTCTCAATAGGCCTTGCTCTGTACTCATCCTCTGTGGGTCCTACAGTCAGCAACCCCTATCACTTTCTGCCACACAGAGAGGCCCAGTCGTCCAATCAATACTTTTTGGATTGCCTGCCTTGTCCCCCCCTCCAGCCTGGCCAAGCAGTCTGATTGTGTGCCCTACATGGCCCTGTCTGCTGCCTGCCACAGACTCTGTGCGCAGGGCTTATTAATAGTGTGTGTGGAGGGCGGGAGGGAGCGGTGGCTGAGATGGGCACTGGCCGCATCTCTTCCCCGCCGCTCCGCGCCAGTCCCAGAGGAGACCCTTCTCAGACGGCAGGAGAGGAATACTAAAGATCCACTGCAGTGCATTAGTGCCAGGCAGCACAGAACAACCAACCACACCAGCGAACACTAAAACATGCAGCACATCACTGCACAGCAAAACTGAGAGTCTACACACTCAGGAAAAAAAGGGTTCCAAAAGGATTCTTCGGCTGTCCCCATAGGAGAACCCTTTTTCGTTCCATGTAGAACTCTTTTGGGTTCCATGTAGAACCCTCTGTCGAAAGGGTTTTACATTTAACCTAAAAGGGTTCTACCTGGGACCAAACTCTTGGAAGGCAATCTCTAGCAAAGCATTTGCAGAACACTATGATCTTGCTTGTTAGAACCCCTATACTATATGGGTCTGGATAGCACCATGCTAGCTATAACATGTTAGCTTAATATGCCATATACAAACCTGACCATCATCCTGATCTCGTTCCTGGCAGGCATGCCTACTGTACTGTAGCCCTCCCTGTATGTAAAATTACATTTCCTTTGGCGGGATGACACAGTATGAGACATGCCCATTAGGGAGCAGATAGAGTGGCTCATATCATTAACAATAGCCAGTCTCTTTTAATCAGCAGGCATGGCCTCGCAATGTGCACAGCAGTTTATTCTGCTTCATACGTTTCTAAGTGCATGTGCTTCAACATACTGAATTAGTCTGTATCTACGTGCTTTATAGAAATGGGTCATGAACTGCATTTATGTGGCTAGAGTTTCTCACAAGGTCTCAAAGCGCTTTTAAGATGTATTTCATCTACGTGCATGCTCTGTTTGGAATTCAAATTGCTACTAAACATATTGTTACTATAGTAATTGATCATACAGTACAATTCTCATAAACTAAATAGACTGTTATCGAGTTGAGAAATCGAGAATGAGAGAGCGTGTTGTAAGGGAGCGTCTGCCTGCCTGTGCCATCTGTGAGTGTGTGTGTTTGTGTGTGTGAGGTGGATTGATTTGACCTCTGTTAGATTTACATACAGCTCTCTTCGTCCTTGACCTGCCCATATTGATTGTGCCAGGGAAGGACGTCCGCACACTTTAGTTGTGAACTGATTCTCCCTCTCAGCTCTCCTGCACCATCTTAACTGCTTTGGTCCCTCATACCTCACTCTCTACCTCCACCAGTTGGAGGGAGATGGGTAGAACATTGAGAGGGACAACGTGAAAATACAGACCTAGGCCTAGATTCAATCAGATCAAGCGTTAACCAGTGATAGCTGAACCCGCATAGCTGGTGTTTTACGTGACGAGCTGTCAAATCAGAGCGGCTGCTCGTGTGGTCATTGTCACGAAGCCACACCCATCCCACTTGCATTAGAAGTACAGAACGAGAAAGTGTAGACTATATAGAAGTAATGGCACTGACATTTAAAATCATTCAACAAAATAATAAGGATTTACATCAGCCTAATGGAGGTATAGATTACAACACACATTCCAGTGTTCCAACTTGTAACAAGGCTGCATGGGATTATTACTTGTGTAACTCGGCGCATCCAATGGCAATGTCCGCAATAGGTATAATGCCAGGAGCCGCTTGCTGATTTGACAGCTCCAACGCAGTTACACCTCCAACATCGGCTAAATAAAAACAATGAAACTGCTATGCAGTTGTCGGTTATCGCGGGTTAAGGCAGAACTAATTGAATCTAGCCGCTAATTTCTGGACATCTGGAGAAGGAGGCCATTTAGTGAGGAGTGGTGGTGGGGTGTGTGGGTGTTTGTGTGACTATGCGCTATATACATTCTCTTTAATTAAGACCACAGTGTGTGCGCTCATGATAAAGGTCCCCTCATGCAGTGTGTCCTCTGAGTCCTTGGCAACACAGAAAATGTTGATTATGCCCCATTAAGGATAAGGCTCCATGGTATTTCGACCACTCTCCTTTCCTCTGCCTCTACAGGTCCCTCACTGAAAAATATAAAAAGTTGATTCAACGTACAATGTAACTCTTTATGACAATACATGACCTATATCATAAGGCCTTTCTTTGAGGGCCTAGTTACACCCTAACGCATTGATCTGAAACTCCTGGTTTACAGGCCACGTCAAGCTTGCAAGTCATATTATGCTGGCTTGCAAAGTGATGTGTAATTCCTATGTGAGGATATCCAACAACTGGAACTTTTAATCACCTGCAACCTGCATTGAGAGAATGACTGCCAGAGTAGAGAAGATTGATTATTGAGACTACCTAAACCATATAAACTGGAACAGCCATCTCAGTATCGAGTGCAACAATCTAACTTCTAACAGATTGGATTAGTTTACAAAGATTTATGTAATTTATGTTTGTGTAGCCTAAAATTAATCAACCAATCAATGTACTGTAAATGCAAAAACTCAGGTATTATAACAAACAATTCTGAAAATCAACCTGCAATAAAGCTTGCTGGGAAATATTATACAGTGGCTTGCGAAATTATTCAACCCCCTTGGCATTTTTCCTATTTTGTTGCCTTAAAACCTGGAATTAAAATGTATTTTTGGGGGGTTTGTATCATTTGATTTACACATCATGCCTACCACTTTGAAGATGCAAAATATTTTTCCTTGTGAAACAAACAAGAAATAAGACAAGAAAAAATAAAACTTGAGCGTGCATAACTATTCACCCCCCAAAGTCAATACTTTGTAGAGCCACCTTTTGCAGCAATTACAGCTGCAAGTCTCTTGGGGTATGTCTCTATGAGCTTGGCACATCTAACCACTGGGATTTTTGCCCATTCTTCAAGGCAAATCTGCTCCAGCTCCTTCAAGTTAGATGGATTCAGCTGGTGTACAGCAATCTTTAAGTCATACCACAGATTCTCAATTGGATTGAGTTCTGGGCTGTGACTAGGCCATTCCAAGACATTTAATTGTTTCCACTTAAACCATTCAAGTGTTGCTTTAGCAGTATGCTTAGGGTCATTGTCCTGCTGGAAGGTGAACCTGCGTCCCAGTCTCAAATCTCTGGAAGACTGAAACAGGTTTCCCTCAAGAATTTCCCTGACTTTAGCGCCATCCATCATTCCTTCAATTCTGACCAGTTTTCCAGTCCCTGCCGATGAAAAACATCCCCACAGCATGATGCTGCCACCACCATGCTTCAGTGTGGGGGATGGTGTTCTCGGGGTGATGAGAGGTGTTGGGTTTGCGCCAGACATAGCGTATTCCTCGATGGCCAAAAAGCTCAATTATAGTCTTATACAGTGGGGAGAACAAGTATTTGATACACTGCCGATTTTGCAGGTTTTCCTACTTACAAAGCATGTAGAGGTCTGTCATTTTTATCATAGGTACACTTCAACTGTGAGAGACGGAATCTAAAACAAAAACCAAGAAAATTGCATTGTATGATTTTTAAGTAATTAATTTGCATTGTATTGCATGACATAAGTATTTGACACATAAAGAAAAGCAGAACTTAATATTTGGTACAGAAACCTTTGTTCACAATTACAGAGATCATACGTTTCCTGTAGGTCTTGACCAGGTTTGCACACACTGCAGCAGGGATTTTGGCCCACTCCTCCATACAGACATTATCCAGATCCTTCAGGTTTCGGGGCTGTCGCTGGGCAATACGGACTATCAGCTCCCTCCAAAGATTTTCTATTGGGTTCAGGTCTGGAGACTGGCTAGGCCACTCCAAGACCTTGAGATGCTTCTTACGGAGCCACTCCTTAGTTACCCTGGCTGTGTGTTTCGGGTCGTTGTCATGCTGGAAGACCCAGCCACGACCCATCTTCAAGGGGGAAGGAGGTTGTTGGCCAAGATCTCGCGATACATGGCCCCATCCATCCTCCCTTCAATACGGTGCAGTCGTCCTGTCCCCTTTGCAGAAAAGCATCCCCAAAGAATGATGTTTCCACCTCCATGCTTCACGGTTGGGATGGTGTTCTTGGGGTTGTACTCATCCTTCTTCTTCCTCCAAACACGGCGAGTGGAGTTTAGACCAAAAAGCTCTATTTTTGTCTCATCAGACCACATGACCTTCTCCCATTCCTCCTCTGGATCATCCAGATGGTCATTGGCAAACTTCAGACGGGCCTGGATATGTGCTGGCTTGAGCAGGGGGACCTTGCGTGCGCTGCAGGATTTTAATCCATGACGGCGTAGTGTGTTACTAATGGTTTTCTTTGAGACTGTGGTCCCAGCTCTCTTCAGGTCATTGACCAGGTCCTGCCGTGTAGTTCTGAGCTGATCCCTCATCTTCCTCATGATCATTGATGCCCCACGAGGTGAGATCTTGCATGGAGCCCCAGACCGAGGGTGATTGACTGTCATCTTGAACTTCTTCCATTTTCTAATAATTGCGCCAACAGTTGTTGCCTTCTCACCAAGCTGCTTGCCTATTGTCCTTTAGCCCATCCCAGCCTTGTGCAGGTCTACAATTTTATCCCTGATGTCCTTACACAGCTCTCTGGTCTTGGCCATTGTGGAGAGGTTGGAGTCTGTTTGATTGAGTGTGTGTCAGGTGTCCTTTATACAGGTAACGAGTTCAAACAGGTGCAGTTAATACAGGTAATGAGTGGAGAACAGGAGGGCTTCTTAAAGAAAAAATAACAGGTCTGTGAGAGCCGGAATTCTTACTGGTTGGTAGGTGATCAAATACTTATGTCATGCAATAAAATGCAAATTAATTATTTAAAAATCATACAATGTGATTTTCTGGATTTTTGTTTTAGATTCCGTCTCTCACAGTTGAAATGTACCTATGATAAAAATTACAGACCTCTACATGCTTTGTAAGTAGGAAAACCTGCAAAATCGGCAGTGTATCAAATACTTGTTTCTCCCCACTGTATATGTTTGGGGAGCCTTCCAAATGCCTTTTGGCGAACACCAAGCCTGTTTTCTTATTTTTTTCTTTAAGCAATGGCTTTTTTCTGGCCACTCTTCCATAAAGCCCAGCTCTGTGGAGTGTACGGCTTAAAGTGGTCCTATGGACAGATACTCCAATCTCCGATGTGGAGCTTTGCAGCTCCTTCTGGGTGATCTTTGGTCTCTTTGTTGCCTCTCTGATTAATGCCCTCCTTGCCTGGTCCGTGTGTTTTGGTGGGCGGCCCTCTCTTGGCAGGTTTGTTGTTGTGCCATATTCTTTCCCTTTTTTAATAATGGATTTAATGGTGCTCCGCGGGATATTCAAAGTTTCTGATATTTTTATAACCCAACCCTGATCTGTACTTCTCCACAACTTTGCCCCTGACCTGTTTGGAGAGCTCCTTGATCTTCATGGTGCCGCTTGCTTGGTGGTGCCCCTTGCTTAGTGGTGTTGCAGACTCTGGGGCCTTTCAGAACAGGTATATGTATATACTGAGATCATGTGACAGATTATGTGACACTTAGATTGCACACAGGTGGACTTTATTTAACTAATTATGTGACTTCTGAAGGTAATTGGTTGCACCAGATCTTATTTAGGGGCTTCACTGCAAAGGGGGTGAATACATATGCACGCACCACTTTTCCGTTATTTATATTTTTGAATTGTTTGAAACAAGTATTTTTTTTCATTTCACTTCGCCAATTTGGACTATTTTGTGTATGTCCATTACATGAAATCCAAATAAAAATCAATTTAAATTACAGGTTGTAATGCAATAAAATAGGAAAAACGCCAAGGCACTGTATTGATGGGCATGGTTTTGAGTTGTTTTGAGCAAACATACGTTTGTATTTTTACTCAAGAAGCTTGTTCAAATTCAGCTCACTGCGAGCAGAGTTGATTCAACATACAATTGTAAGGCTTTGTAACAAGCTGCAAATAGCTAAACCAGCATACAGCCTTCCAAAGGCAAACATGAATTTGTAATTCGACTCAACAAGTTTTTATACATTCAGCTCAGTGTGAGCAAAGTTTGTTTAGCTCAATTTGTTGTCCTTCTGAAGTCCACCCAACTCACAAAATTACGCTGATTAAGCAATTGGTTAAGTTGGCGTTTTTACAGTGCTGCGATGTATGTGTGGCTGTGGGTCCTCAACTAGCTTGCTGACACTATATAAATCCTCTCTCCCACGCAGATTAATGACGTTCAAAGCATTAACTATGCACACACAAACTGACTGAAATAACATAAACATGACTTTCATCGTCAGCTTGAGCCACACACTACCGGTCAAAAGTTTTAGAACACCTACTCATTCAAGGGTTTTTCTTTAGTTTTACTATTTTCTACATTATAGAATAATAGCGAAGACATCAACACTATGAAATAACACATAAGGAATCATGTAGTAACCAAAAAAATTGTTAAACATTCAAATAGCCACCCTTTGCCTTGATGCCAGCTTTGCACACTCTTGGCATTCTCTCAACCAGCTTCATGAGGTAGTCACCTGGAATGCATTTCAATTAACAGGTGTGCCTTCTTAAAAGTTAATTTGTGGAATTTCTTTCATTTTTTAATGCGTTTGAGCCCATCAGTTGTGTTGTGACAAGGTATACAGAAGATAGCCCTATTTGGTAAAAAACCAAGTCCATATTTGATATAATGAGGATATGGGGCCATTTCATATGAGTGTGTAACTAGTTTAAAGTTAGTAGAGAGAAGTGGTTCTGGGTGACTCTAAGTCTGGGGTAGTAAATTCCAATCTGACCAAGGAAGATAGTGGGGTTTATATTAGAATGAGGTACAGAGGGAACGTCCTGCTTGGGGGTAAGAGGTCATGACATAGAAGGGGTAGTGCTTGTTGACGATGGCCAGATGTGGTTGAAGGAATGTTAACCAATAGTATAAAATATGTGAGATTTGTGTACGTGGGCAGTTCAACTGACAAGGGGACAAGGCTATGTGTCACGCCCTGACATTGAGATCTCTAGTTGGGTTGGTCAAGGTGTGAAATCTAATTTATATATTTCTATGTTGGCCGGGTGTGGTTCCCAATTAGAGGCAGCTGTCGGTCGTTGTCTCTGATTGGGGATCATACTTAGGCAGCCATGTTGCCTACCTTAGTTGTGGGATCTTGTTTCTTGTTTGGCTTGTTTGATGTTTAGCCTCTTGAACTTCACGTTCTGTTGGCTTTTGTTATTTTATTCGGTGTTTATTAAAATAAACGACTATGTACGCATACCACGCTGCACCTTGGTCCGATCCTTTATACAACGGACATGACACTATGTCCGTTTGTTAGATGAACCCACGGGCTCGTGATCAAATAAATACTTCTCCAAATAAAACATCTCCACAGAATGTCTAAGTGAATTCTTGCCTCTTGAACTTCTCAATACCAGAAACTCATCATAACAATATTATGGCAAGAACAGCTCAAATAAGCAAAGAGAAACAACTGTCCATCGTTACTTTAAGACATGAAGGTCAGTCAATCCGGACAATTTCAAGAACTTTGAAAGTTTCTTCAAGTGCAGTCGCAAAAACCATCAAGCGCTATGATGAAACTGGCTCTCATGAGGACCGCCACAGGAATGGAATACCCAGAGTTACCTCTGCTGCAGAGGATAAATTCATTAGAGTTATCAGCCTCAGAAATTGCAGCCCAAATAAATGCTTCACAGAGTTCAAGTAACAGACACATCTCAACATCAACTCTTCAGAGGAGACTGTGTGAATCAGGCCTTCATGGTTGAATTGCTGCAAGGAAACCACTACTAAAGAACACCAATAAGAAGAAGAGACTTGCTTGTGCCGAAACACGAGCAATGGACATTAGACCGGTGGAAATTTGTCCTTTGGTGAAGGAAAAGCAGCCAACAAGTGCTCGGCATATGTGGGAACTCCTTCAAGACTGTTGGAAAAACATTCCAGGTGAAGCTGGTTGAGAGAATGCCAAGAGTGTGCAAAGCTGTCATCAAGGCAAAGGGTGGCTATTTGAAGAATCTAAAATCTAAAATAGATGTTGATTTGTTTAACACTTTTTTGGTTACTACATGATTCCATATGTGTTATTTCATAGTTTTGATGTCTTCACTATTATTCTACAATGTAGAAAACAGTAACACTAAAGAAAAACCCTTGAATGAGTAGGTGTTCTAGTGTAGTAGTGTAAACATCAACACTGATTGTGACACCGCATCATGGCAATTGTCCTTTTGTTGTAATCTGTGTAATGTCTCCGGTGCAGATAATCAAACCAGTATATAGACAAGCAGAAAACCACACAAACACAAGACCTTAATCCCTGTGGCGTTTTAAAACACTGATACACTACAGTACCTGAGTGGATGAGCCAACACACTTGGGGAGAGTCCCAGTCGATGGAAGAGACAAAGCCCTTTAATTGATTGGATGGAAAGAGAAGAGAGGAGGCTGGGGTATAGGGCTGCGATAGGGCTGTGAAAACTGCTGTAAATCATCTGTCTCTCTCATAAAGAGATACGTTAACTCCTCCGCTAACTAAAAGACCAGCCATTCACATTACAACACTATTAGTTAAATTAGCTACAGAAGGAATTTACTTGAACTGTATAGCTAGAATGGGGGCATCACAAATCCTGCTCAGTATCAGTCGGCTTCCTTCTTTCTTTACATGCAAAGCCTACCTCACTGTTTAACTGTCAAACCTGTGCACAACACTGACGTGATCAGGCAGTTGCAAAATCACTATTCGTGTGCATCAGAAGAGGAGCATCTTTTCTTCAGCTTTTTCTCAGATATTATGAGGTGCTGAATGAATGACCCATAGAGGTTAAGTGTTTCTCATCCATATTCATGAGCTACAGTTGGGCTGGGGTAAGGCAGGGTGCTGCATGCATTCTAAAACAGCTTTGACTGAGAGACAGTACAATTTTAAAAGCTTTATTCTAACAGTAACATGCTGTCCCCTTTCCCTCCACATGTCTGGCAGTGGATTATCTATTCAGGAAATACACTAAATAAATAAGTATCCTGTGAGCCATGTCAGCGCCCTCAGCAGGGACATTCAAAGACAACGTGCACTTCCTCTTCAGAGTCTGACACTTCCTCTAACTTCCTCATAATATGAGCCGAGACAAACATTTCTGATGATGAACATGTAGCATTAGCGACAGGCTGGTCATAATAGCTCATACAGTCAGTCAGTTGTGTTTTTTGTATCGGGGGCTCCAACCGTATTATACTCTGATCTTAAAAGCAAGGAAAAAAGACAAACAGCAGGCAAATTGCTCTCACACAGCACAGTAATCCTTTGAAACTTGGAACGTTACCCTAAAGACGCATTATCTGTCAAATTTGATTGGCAAACATTTAATGTAATGTAGTTTGAGGTTGCATAGAGGATTACAGCATGTAGCTGCATTGTTGAGCATATCCTGAACTCAATGCTCCCTCATCTCAGTGCCACACCTGAATGTAAAGCAGTGCTCTCTTTCACATCGATTTAATGAGATCAAAAACATGTCCCAAAATCACTGCCTTTATGCAGATGTCAATATTCGAATGAACATCTCACTTTACATGATTTAAGTGTATTCTGAGCTTTCTATTCCCTCCGTAAAATAACACCAATGGCCAAGCACCTGAATATACAGTAATCCACAGCAGTTTTCAAATCTGCACATAAATCTTTTTTTTTTTTTTTGCATTTGGCTTAGAATGTAATCTGCTTAAAAAAAAAATTGTGCTTTTTCCAGGTTTTCTAAAACGTGTTTATTTGTGTGTGTGTGTGTACGTGAGTGCATGCATGTACGCATGTGTGTGCATGTATGTGTATGTGTATATATTTCTCATCTTCTCTGGTGCATTACTTTCCCTCTTCACCTTGAGCAGTGCACTTTGAGTCCCAGTCATGCAACATCAGAGCCATGTATCTGAAATGTATAATCTTTGATAGGATGACAGAGGCATGAGGATTAGCCAACACTGAGGTCAAGCAGGCAAACATCCCACTGCCTGGCTGCTGATTTAACCTCCGCCGATACTCTTTTCAAACACTGGACACACAGTTCAAAACTGCTCTCTCTCTCTCTCTCTCTCTCTCTCTCTCTCTCTCTCTCTCTCTATACTCGCTCTCTCTCGCTCTCTCTCCTCTCTCTCTCTCTCTCTCTCTTCTCTCTAGCTGCTCTCTCTCTCTCTTCTCTCTCTCTCTCTCTCTCTCTGTCTCTCTCTCTCTCTCTCTCTCTCTGTCTCTCTCCAGCCTAAGTCATCTCAGGCCTCCAAACCATGTCGACACTCTTGCTTCTCACGTTATGGCGTGGCCTGTCAACGTCTATAAATGAACAGTGATGTATCCTCGCTGTGGCCCTGAGATACTGTATTACCCTGGGACCGCTGTAAATATCTTCCATTACAGAACATCAAGTTAACACAGCAAAAATAGGCCATAATTCCTGGGCAGGGATGTCTGGAGGCCAGATTTGCTATATGTCTGCATCAGTGCAAAGTTTGCACCTGTTATTTCTCTAACAATTGAGGTAATGTTGAAGAAGACTGCCTAGCAACAGCATTGGTTTCATGCATAGTATGACATCAGAAAATCATCAATACCCCACTGGCAGATGGGTCCATCCATAGCCTCTTCTCCTTCATATAGATGAAAAGAGCCTAAGAAATCATGAATCATAACCAATTATGAAGTATTTCCTGACCATAATCCACAGCGTTTTAGCTGCATGTACATCCCTCCATACTGTACCTCTCAATCAGAAGCTTTACCAATGAACCCTAACCTTTGACCTTGTTCTGACATCACTCTGACTTCCTCCCTCACTACTTTCTATTGAACTCTGAACTTTTACAATATGTCAAATGTTTTCAACACCTATCATGGATTCTGAAGTGGGCAGCTTAAACTAGTGTAAAATCCCACCATAGTCGTCAAAGCTTGTTGTTAAAGCACAAGGCATCTAAACTATTTCCCTTGCTCCATTCCCAAGTTGCTATAATAGGCCCAGTCCCTTCTATACCTACAGTATATGGGTTATTGCTATTGGGGCCATTACCTCTTGCATTCCCTTCCTTCCCCACAACCTTTAAATCAAACAGCTACATTATAGCCTCACATTTAGACTGCCCTGGCCATGACGTGAAAGACTGCAATTGCAACAATAAAGGAACAAAGAGAGAACATGCAATGTAACAGTCTGCTCAGTGCCACAAGGTCAGCTTCAGAGTCCGCTCCAATCAAACTTGTCTGTCTCCCAGAGAATCCCACCCAATTAGACTTGCTCTGTGTTTTTTCTCTCAGTGGACTTAGCTGCCCAGAGGGCAGAGGGTAAGCCTGCCTGCTGCTCTACTGCTCGTTTGAGAAGGGGATCAGATGTAAGAAGCTTTGGGGATGCACTCCCCTCTCCAGTCCCTCACCTGCAACTGACATCTCTAAATTTACCCTTCTTCTTCTTCTTCTTCTTCTTCTTCTTCTTCTTCTTCTTCTTCTTCTTCTTCTTCTTCTTCTTCTTCTTCTTCTTCTTTTTTTGTACTGTCTGTCTAACAGCTGCCCTAACTCTGCCATACTCACTCTCTCTCCCTACCCTGTGACACTTGTTGAATTCCTTTCCTCCCTTAGGGCCAAATTATGGTCTGTTCAAACAGACCCTGTATAGATCTCACCATTGACATGCTGTGTAAATCAGAAGCATCTGAAATTCCCGTGTTAACCTGGTGGCATTAGTTATAGAGACAACAATACTAATACAAATGGTGACTGATTGATTGCTTTGGCTGGGTGGCTAATGGGAAGGGGGGGGGGGGGGGGGGGGGGGGGGGGGGGGGGGGGGTTCTGAATGAATGGGCCAGTTTTCACATAGGCATATGTCAAGCAATGGCTGGATGAGCAGACTCACTGGGCACTAGCCCTGTCACTGGTTGAGGAAAAAATTATGAGAGGAGTTGTCAGATAACCACTGACAATGGACTTTGTTACATCAGTGTAAAAAACGATGCTTGGGCTGTTACATTCACAGAAAGAGGATCTTAATTGGTGTGGTGCCAAAGCTCTTGTCAAACACCATTTTTTAAGTTTCAGTGTATGCTCTCTAGCACTCGCTGCTAGTCAAAATATGTATATCTGGGTAAGAGTTACATATAATTAAGTTACAAACAAACTGCCAATCATAAAAAGTAACGAGACAAATAAGCATGACAGAGGAAAATATTTCAGCTTTAATCATCAAGGATTTGGAAAATACCCAAATATTTCCTTCTCTAGAATTGAACATAATCACTAGATTATGTAATCATACAATCTAATACATAATAACATAGCACTAAACCAACAGAATATATTCACTAATGGTCCTCATCCAAGGTGGAGGTCTACAGTGCAGAGCCAATGCAGTAGGACCAGTCTCACCTGGAGATTAGCTTGCATAGCTGACTGAGCCTGCCATGTTTGTGGGGGTAATATGGACATGTGTAGGAGCACAGAGCTACCGTAATCCCTGCTATCCCCGCTATCCCTCATTTTGTAGGTCAGACATCACGTGGAGGAAGAGGAGCCTCATCTGACCCATTTTGGCCTGCCCATGGTGAAACGCTGCTCAAAGATGGGTATAGTACACACACACTATTGCTTACAGACTTAAGTGAAGAAACACACAAGTTAGTGCACAAAGACATACATGCACGCACTTGCACGCATGCACAGAGCGCCAAACACTGAGAGACTCCACACACCTCTGTCCGCACTAGCATATCACCCACAGTCAAAGAGTGGGGGAATAAAAACCACACTCCAGTGGCTCAGTGACTCGGCTTATGAATTTCCATATGCAGGGCTGGAGGTTAAGGGCTTAAAAATGCCGACAAAGGGTGTTAAACTCGGAATCTAAAATTGGACATGGCCTGTCAGAGCACACTGTTAACCCCCAGGAGTGGAGTGTGCGCACGGCTCTCAGAGTTCATTAGCTGTCGTGATAAATCCCTGTGCCGCTGTGGCCCAGTCCAGCCTTGACATTTAGGAGAGAGGGGTGCTGCATAGTAGATAAGCTGCCATTCTCTACCCTGCCTAATTGCCACAGCAGCCCCATTTGCAAATGTAAAAAATCTAGTTGTCATGCTGGTGGCACATTTGGAGGCAACAGCATTATCATGTCTCAGTGACGCTGCCATGTCAAGATAATGATCAGTCAAAAAATTTTAATTTGCAAAATTACAGTTTTTCTCGATTGCTAAGACACATTTATTGAAACCTTCACCCATTTTCTCAAAACTTTAAACACAAAACCAAATCTTCAAACTACTTTCACAAAACCCCTGACTCTTCTGGCAAAATCAAACAATCGCCTCAAAACCATTTAATCTGTGCTCAAAATCAAACAATGCTTTCAGATCATACAAACAGCCAGTCAATATATAAACACTACGGAGCGTTCATTAGACACTACATCAAAAAATGGAGAACACAGCGTCCAGGGCATGTAGTTACAAATTTATTTTAAAATGGTATATAGTAAACGCATTTTGCAATTCAAACAAAAAGTATAGTAATCACAACTTAGTACAGTAAATATTGTATACTGTAAGTACTGCAAGTAAAACAGTATTGAATGTCTATATTCAGCACTTGCATAAAAATACAGTAGTCCAACTGCAAAAGCCCAAAGCCCAAAGAACAAAGAAAACTCTAAATGAAAAGCACATTACAGTACACTCAAAAATGTTGGGCAACTGCGAAATCAAAGTCAATGAGAGATTCATTCTGCCTCAGCATCATGTCTTTGTGCTGGTTCCGGCCAGAGGACTTTGTCCACATCACAGGCAACATTGTCCCTTGCCAGGCAACGGGGGG